CCAGTCTCGTCCATCGGACAGCAGCGTCCTCCTCCAGCGCCGCACTCCCCATCGCACAAGGCCCCCACTTACACGTCGCTTGACAGTGACTGCATGAATTTAGATTTAAAGCTTTCGTGACTGCAGGGATTCATCTTCTTGGTTCTTTCGGTAAAGTCACGTAGAAGGGAAATAATAAAATAATAAAAATAAAACATAATAATTCTCACGACGTTTCGGCCACAACGCAAGCAGCCGTCCTCAGGTGAAGACCAGCGTCTTTCATTCAGACGCTGTCTTTCATTCAGACGCTGTCTCCCCGACAGACCTGGTCTTCACCTGAGGACGGTTGCTTGCGTTGTGGCCGAAACGTCGTGAGAATTATTTTATTATGTTTTATTTTTATAATTTTATTATTTCCCTTCTACGTGACTTTACCGAAAGAACTAAGAAGAAAAAGTGACTGCATGCTTCGTCTATATTCGTTCTCTAATCCCTGTTTCAGTGTTTTCCTCTTCCGTGTCTCGGTTTTAATTCCCAAGATGCAAATATCTGATAAACACCCTTAGTGAGGGTTTATATTTCATCGCCTGACTCCTCTCTGATTTGTGGTTTTGTCGCTCTGTGAATGTAATCTCAGTGTAGATGTCCAAGCTTTTAAAATGTCCTGAGCATTTAAATGGCTGCATCGATTTCCACCGATCAGATGCCTTTCCACATCTACAAAAAACAATTATTTAGTATTCACTTGCTCCATTCTATAAAACCGATGAATGTAAGTGGTATTTTATATCTGAAGCTTGTCACATAAGCGAAGGACTCTTAATTGAAGCGTGGACATCGTTTTTAAGCCGTTATAGCGGGTTTGTTTGCAGAGCAAGGTGCTGTGAATGAATAGCAGCGTGCTGCTACAACTGCCCTTCAGAGTTAAAGGGAAACGGCTTGTGCTGGTCATAGCTTTCTCTAACACAGTCCCCCCGTGCCCCCCCCCTCCCAGTTCTACAATACCGTGGGTGCATTGAGCAATTGTAATCCATTGGGGGCCAATCTCAGTTTTAAAATATTTATTGCATCATCAAAGAGACGCGCCAGTTGGAAGTAGTGGCTTCCTCCGCATCCTGACAAATCTGTGGTGAAGATCCAGCAGATGTCCGAACGCACTAATGGGCCCTTCCACAGCTATCGATTTAACATAATGCATTTTTAATGCGGGGCTTGAGAAGCGAAAGAGAAGTAGGTGATGTGGATGTTCCATGATGGATGTGCATCGTGTTTATATGTAGCAGTGCCGTTTAATGCAATATATTTAAATTCAATCTTTTGCTTTTTCCGAGATTATGAGCTGCAATTGGGAACTCTAAGAATAGTTTAAATATATATAATATTTCTGCTTCTGCACAGATGGTTTTTGGCTGAAATTGTATTTCTTCTAGATATCAGCACTTCCGCTAACTTAGCATGATGTTTCAGAGCTTAATGGGCTCTTTGACGCGTGCTTTTCTTCCTGTGTCGTAGATATTACAGTGTTACAGTTGCTTTTACTCCTATTAGAGTGGAGAAGCGCCACAGTAGTTAATGCGCTACGAACCCAGTGATCTGAGTTCGATTCCCGGCCATGGCTCAAACTCAGCGGCGAGGGATATCTCAACCACCGACCCTTTCGGATTGCAAATCCAGTGCGCTGACCGTTACACACATCCCCGCCGCTTTGAAACCTGTAGCTGTAAATTCGCAATCGTCAATGATTTCACATTTGCGTTGGAAAGCTACAATGTAAAAAAATGCAACGTTCGCGTTGTTAACACAACGAGGCTGAGAATAACACGGGGGAATTGTAACTGCGAACATCAGCAAGCATGCTCAGCACGTCAAGCTATATTTAGCTTGAGGAACGAAGCGGTGGAACTTTGAATACTGTCTGAAAGCACATTTCAGAAAAGGAAGATATTTTTTCGTAACAATTTGCAGTTAATGGATTGCTCTTCCCGATTTCACGGGCAATGCATACAATAACCTTCCATTGAAATAGGGATTCACTCTGGCGTATGCAAATGAGACCGCTCTATTCAAAACCGAGCAACACAATGAACTAAAAATAATGTAATGCCTTGCTACCGTCTGATAATGTAGTCCACAAAGCATGGGGAGACCACAATCACTGCATTGCGAACCTGTGCGCCACACGGTATGTGTGTGCAGATAGTGGCAAAGGTGCAGCCCTGCAATTGCTGGCTAACCTCACTGCTTGCAGAAGGAGGGAGCCCCACCCCGAGGAGCGCCGCTCTTGCAGGGATGGGGGTGCTGTATATGGCCAGACGTTTTGGAAGAGGTGGGAGTAAATATAATATAATAATTAAAATGCATAATGCGCATTCCATACTAGGATCCCAATGTGCAATGTGTGAAAAGCAGGAAACTAGAAACAGACCCAGGGCAACCGTCCAAATTAAAGAGGGAAGGCCACTTTAAATAGATGGGTTTTCAAAACAGACTTCAATATATCTACTGACTTTGTTTGCCTGGTTTCGATTGGAAAGGCGTTCCATAGCTTGGGCGCCATGCTAACAAAAGCCTGGTCACCAAATAAGCGCAACCTCGACCTGGGAGTGCTGAGCAGTTGTAGATCTGAAGATCTTAAGGACCTTGATGGAAAAAAACATGTATTAGTTTTAAAGCCAAAAGGTTAAAGCAGTATCTTGAAATCCACTCGGACTATGACTGGTAGCCAATGTTAACCCCACCACACTGGCGACCGACTCACTGCGTGGACAGAGACGAGGTGGGGAGGGTGTATACGCTCTCCCACTGTTTCAACTGCAGCGCCGGCAGATCGAATCGAAACAGCGACTACCTGCATTGTAAGTCCGGTGTGCTAACCGTTACATCACTGCGGCGTTCCGTGCATAATGCACCGCATCCGAAAAGCCCGCTGGCCCTCGGAGGACAAGGCGGGATGCCGCGGTTCGCAAAATTCGGCACTAAAGCCCCCTCCGATGAGCGTTGCACTGTCCTTGCTGAGCTTTATGACCCGCAGCTGATGTGAGCGCTGGAGCAGTCTCCCCCACCAACGTGAACGTTAACAAACCCGCCCCTATCCCCCCACCGCCCCCTACGCCACTTTCCTACCACCACCACCAACCAGCCTTCAAAAATACTTTATTGGCGTCGTGGGCTCGCGAGATGGAGTAAGTACTCGCAGTTTAGCCATTAGCGTGCTGTTTTGCAGTACCTTAATGTGGAAATATTTGTATTTTCTCCTCCCATCGGCCAAGCTGAGACGACCTGTTGTCTTCATGGCAAAGGGGGACAGAGGAAAAAAAATCGCTCAATAACAAAACTGCGACCCCATGCGATGCTACCCCTTGCCTCATCAGCGCATTTCATCAAGAATGTTTCCTCTGCCACTTAAGGGCCCTTTTGTTGTTAGCCTCCTGGGCCTGGTGTCGCTGCATAAAGTGCCACGTCCGTGATATAAAAACTAAAGCACAGTCGAGTCGTAGGGAGGAGAGCAGAGGTGTGACGCAGTGGTTGGCGTGCTGCGATATGAACCCGCTGAGTTCGATTCCTTGGCCGCACCCTAACATCACTGGGCGAGTGGTATGTGAACCGATTCTTTGCCCCCCCCCCCACGTCCACCCAGAGCCGTCCCTACGGGGTACGGAGAATCGGGGCGACCGCCCTGGGCCCCGCACTTTGAGGGTCCCCGGGCTTCGACGTCACGCGGTGTCAGATTTAGTACTTTCCCGTTAAGTTGAAGGCGTGGGATTTTCCCCGCCCCGCACTATTGGCGGCTCTGCACGCGTCAAACGCTTTCACCAACCTACGCTGACCAGCGTGGTGAAGTATGGTCAAACAAACAAACTCCAACACGGCATGGCTAAGCCTTCATCCGATAGAGGATTCACAGGACTGCAATGATTCACGTTCTACCATCAGCGAGTCAAAAAACGCAAAGTGACGAATCGATTTTTTTTCACGTTGCGGTGAATTGCAGCGGCCACTAATAGTCGCTCGGTTCGCGTGAACCCTTGACATATATTCCCTTTCTTGTGTCGTTTAATAATCGATATGAATCGATGCATCGCTACACCTCCAATTGTGTGAATTGCGTTATTAATCGGTGCAATGTCGGCATTATTTTCACGGCTTAATGTGTGGGTCACAATCGTTATGCTTCCTAGCTAAAACGTATACAGTGTGTGTTAATTTCATCACGCCACAATTATTGTGATTTGCAACGTCGTCGATTAAATCTACAGTGATGTAGTCTGTGTAATAATCGGATAAGTAATATTTGTGAAGTTCTGAATTTAAAATTAATGTGTGCACGAGGGGACGCGTGTGTTCGTGGTTTCGCTCTTTGCAGTTTGCAGAGCAATTCCCCATCTCGATCTCGCATTCAACCGCCGCCCATTGCTTATTTTAGATTAAGCGCGACCCTTCTCGATACAATTTCTCATTTTATTGCATAGCACACACTTCCCTGTGCCAATATGCAATCACCGTAACGTCTTGCAAAGACGTCACGTAATTTTTCTTTCAAAAAAACCCAATTCACTCTCTATCAATATATTATCATTGTACGTGAAATGTGACAACAAAAAAGTCTAGCCTCATAATTTCAAAACCGTAAATTATTGGGGGGGGGGGGGGGGAGAGGGGGAGGAACACCGAGCCTGAAAAACGTTCACGCTTCATCGAACTCGTGTGAGTCTGCAGACGCTGTGACCGTGTGAATCGTGGTCTGTTTGTCAGCAATGCATTTGCCTCGGGGAGAGTACATGAGGTTCATGGGCCCCTGTGCAGTCGTGTGCACGCTCCGTGTTTCATGTCCATATGCATAAGGGGGGGAGGGGGTTCTCGGAAAAAGGCAGAGCGCTCGCTTGCCCTGAATGAATTCTGGTTCTGCAGAATTGAGGTTAGCCAGAAAACAAAGTAAAGGGGTTGCGACTGATCGATGGGGTGTTATCAGATTGCTTTCGTTAAGCGAATGGGGAGTGACCGTCGTATTTATTGCGACCGAAGCCTCGTGATGGGGTAAGCCGATCCAAGCCCAACCCCCTTGGTTCTCACATCACGAATACACGTATATATATATATACCCAGAGCCTCTTTCGGTTTCGCAGTGCAGTTACAGAGGCAATCCGCAGCTGTCGCCGCATTGGCCACTAGGATCGAGCAGACGGCGGACACTTTAATGGTGCCGCCTGTGATACAAGGACTCGCGCACGCTGGCCCCCGCCGCCTTCAAGGGCTCGCTGTTATCATGAGCAGCCGGCAGACGCCACTCTTTGTGCTGTTGCTGCTCTGCAGTTTGCTCTCGCAAGGTAGGTTTCGCAGAGTTGAACGTCGTCGTGATTGTTATTGCCTAATTTTGCAAAGGGTGTCTCAGCGTCTGAACATAAATCGTATCGTGTCAAATTTCGATGTAAAGCTTTCGTGACTGCAGGGATTCGTCTTCTTGGTTCTTTCGGTAAAGTCACGTCGAAGGGAAATAATAAAATGATACAAATTAAACATAATAAAATAATTCTCAAAACGTTTCTTTCCGACAGAACTGTTCTTCACCTGAGGACGGCTGCTTGCGTTGTGGACGAAACGTCGTGAGAATTATTTTATTATGTGAAATTTTTATTATTTTATTATTTCCCTTCTACGTGACTTTACCGAAAGAACCAAGAAGACGTATCGTGTCATTTTGATTTACAATATATGTCTTTAACACGCTGCGCGGTGTGCAGTAATGAATACCCTGCCCCCGTCTGTGCAGTGCCGGTGCGCGATAAACGCAAGTTCGCTTCAGCACCCTGGACAGCGACCAATACATAATGCCGGTGGCGATTGATCTTCTGCCGATGGCGATTGCCCAGTCGGAACGTTTGATAGTATTTAAATTCATTCTAGATTTGAAGCTTTCGGGACTGCAAGGATACATACTGTTTGGTTTTTTCGGTAAAGTCACATAGGTTAAAAAAGAAAACAAATAAATAAAATCACGGCGTTTCGGAGGCAACACAAGCTTCCGTCTTGTGTTGCCTCCGAAAGTAAGTATTTAAATTAAGACGCTAGACTTTGCAATAGAGTCGTTGACTATAGAATGCGTGCGATGCATTTCCTCGCCTTTTGCGAGTGAAGTTTCCAGTTTATGAATTATTCGCCCTCGACTTTCTCCCACTCGTACGATTGGCGTCAGAATTCGCGCGAAGCCCATGCATTTATTTACAATCTCATTGACTTTCACAAGCGGCAAGAGACCAACGGGCAATTGTAAATGCGATCTCATGCAGGCCATGCCTGGAAGTGTTAATGGTGAATACATCTCTTGGTCGGAAATCCAATTGCATAGTTGATCACGAAAGCGATACGATTTTCTCTGTGCGTTAAATATTGCACGGCTGTTACGTCAATTTCCGAAGGTTAAGTGTGCCGACTGGTTAAATTAACGGAGAAATGCTTCACGTCAAATGGTCTCGACACATGCACGCACGTAGATTCGTGTTGGCTTGTGAAATCCACGCACTGTCTCCGAATTCGCGTACAGCATCGCGTTTGTCTCACTGACGGCTACTCGACTGCGCCATTCTCGTTGCACAACCGAATGAAGTTGTTATCTCTGCGATCCATCTCACTCATAGGCACACTCCAATCACTCCATCTCTCTTTGATCGTCTCGTCGCGTGCATTTCCTTCCTCGGCTTCAATGCAGCCAACAATGTAGATACATATATGTAGTCTCGTCTTCTTCTTCTTCGGCCGTCCATCGCAAACGATGATGACTGCGGAGAACAGCTGGTAGTAGCTGGTGAGATGAGAGGCCAGCCCTTGAGCGGAAGCATCGACCCGCAACTGTGTGGGCAAGAGTATCTGCTCGTCTGCTGATTGGGATTCGTGTCGTGGATGTTGGTGTTGATGCTGACAGGCATTTTCCATTTTGTAACATACATCCCTTCCGTTTAACACGTAGGCTTTCACGACCAATATCATCCATAATACGGTTTTTTTGAAAGGTTAGATCGCGTAAATATATAAATGTGTCGTGAAACCCGTCACCACCCGACACAGCCAATTATGAAGGTTTGTCACGTAAACAGAACATGGCAATCCAATTCATCAAATATTTTTAATGGTTTCCGTTGCATTACCTCTTGTGTATATTCCAGCCATTCCAAGCTAGCATCTCTTCCGTGGTGTTTAAATTAATTGGGACCTTTTAAGCCAATCTGTTTCAAAGACAATGCATATATTATCAGAGCATGTTTGTTTGCATGTTTTGCCAAGCACGAGTGGGTAATGCAGACTCGATGCCTTACAAAATTGATCTATTTGGTGTTTGAACATCTTAACACCTTTTTAATTGCCAGAAAGTGTAACATTTCCACTTGTTTTTTTCATCATTTTTTATTTATTGCTCGTGAAATCCACCGGACTAGGTGGATGATCACACATTGCAAGATCGTGGGAGATAGCAGTGGCTTCGGGAGGCCTTCATCCAGCGGTGGATTTACCATGGCTGATGATTGCGATGACCTGTGACCCCTTCCCGTTGTTTTGTTTACAGCCTCGCTGGCACCTTTGACTGGGCAGCTGTCCAAGGAAGACGAAGCGGTTGGTTAATTAAATACTCCCGCTCCGTTTCGTAGTAAACATTGAGTTAACGTCACCTTCTCGTGCACGACGAACCACCGTGGGTGGCCTGTTACGACTCATAAGACTGCTGCGAAATGTATTTGAAGAATTCTCAAAACATTTCAGGGTGTTGCTATGAATCCTAAAAAAAATCACACTCAATCAAAATAAATGCTTGTTTTGCTTTGAATTGCCCAAGCATCGTGAGAGGGAGGGTTAATCGAGTCGAATGCAACACGCTTCGGTAATAGATTTGCAACGTGCACGCTCCGTTACAATGCAACAGTAAAATACTGCGATGTAGAAATGCGCAGAAAGAAAACGTGGTCGCACAACGAGCCGCCCGCACCGGCAGGCTACAGACATTGGAGCGCGTACGTGATGAGTGAGCGGCGAGTGTGCGCGCTGTCGTTTGCAGGTAATAAAGTGCATCATCGAGGTGCTGTCCGATACCCTGAGCAGAAGGGAGGATTCAACTCTAACCAAGGAATGCGTGGAGATACTGAAGAGCGGTTCGTATGCACTCGCATTTTAATGACAGGAGAAGCTGCGTACATAAGCACACCCCCTCTGGCGTAATAAAGCCAGCTGTGCGAATCAGAAGTTTCCCTTCGCCTTCCTCTCCCACGAGGCTCATGTAAAAGAGCGTTGTTGCTTCGATGACAACTGCCATTACGTAAGGTGTAACTTCTATCCGGCCTCCGAGTCTCAAGTTTTATTTTTGTTGAACCCGGTGAGAAGTCACGAGACCAGCACGGAGGGATTGTTTGCGAGAATGTGACCTGGGGCACTGAGATGACAAAAGAAAATAACATTTACAAAAGGAACAGTGCGGGCAATGAAGCAAATATCTTCTAAATAATCTACTTTGATGATTTACAGAAAATGTGGACCTTCTGGCTGAGAAAAGGCGAATTTAGTAATTATTGTTACACAAACTAGGAGATAATATGCCGATCAGCATGTGTATTGTTAGTTACTTTGGCTAATTATAATCATAAATTAGTCCGCGCTAATGACCCAATCACAGGTGAATGGCACTCGATCCCGTCAGATTTCGGAAGAGTAAGCAAACTCGAGCCTGGATCGGGCTCGGTGTCTCACCCACCATGCACAAATATGGTTGTGATAAGGCTGCAGGACTAAAATGTGCAGAGAGAAAAAAACATGTGCTGTCCTGTAGTATCGTATTTCTATGCTCCCTGCCTTTAACTGGCACTGGCCAGCGTGGTGACGTATGGTCAATGAACTCCCACGACCCGTGATGTCGTGGGGAGGCCTTTGTCCGACAGTGGATTGGCAACTCAAGGGCTTAACATATGCAACATTAGGCACAGGTAATGGATGATGAAGAAAAATAATATATTTTTTTTCATTGTAAGTACATGTTTTCATTCATTTTTGCAGACCAGCGGATATATGACTTGCTGCAACACGACAGCGTTTTTAATGGACTCCAAGAACTGGCGACACCAAGTAAGAATTCACCTTCCGCTGCCAATCAAACCACGAGTCCATTCGGTGTTCACGTCGTTCTTCTAGCAACAAGGCGACCACGATTTTTTCTATAGCCCGTTTCACAATACGAGAGGCACACGAAGCATTCTGTGCTCATTTACGTTGTCGAGAGACACCGCACACAAACACGACCTCGTGTGCCACATGCCCTGCTGCTGACTTCACGCATAGCTTTGTGGCCATGTCGGAGATGTGAAAACAAATGTTTGGTGATGCTACGTTGGCAGTGATGCGGCAAGCACCACCGATTAGCACGGTCAAGGTACGGACGGTGCGAAAGAAGTTCAACATAATACAACAAATTCCATGCTCATGTTTGGGCTATGGAGAAGGGTAGTTTTCCTAAACGTCGCTTATTATATATTTTTCCCTTTTAAAACGGTGCCATTGACAAATGTGTTAACTTTTATTTCGTTACACATAGGGGAGTTGTATTTTCTTGCCAAGTGTACACACTCCATATTAATGCGACAGCAGATCCATGTTATGTGTGAGATATGAGGACACGTTGAAGGATTATAACCTCAAGGCTGATGCTTCAAACCCATCTGCTGTCAACGCTCGCACTGATAAGGGACGTACTGTAGCCGCATTTGCATGTCTGGGATTGGACTTGTCTCCCACGTGAAAAGCCACCAGAAATAAAATAAAATAGCAGCACTCAAGCAGGCGATGGCCGAGCACTCCACCATCGAGGCGACCGGAAGAGTGCAGGCAGAGACGTGAATGGATCGCGTAAAAACAGTGAGTTGTTGACATTGTTATCCCAGCGCAATTGCAATGTGTTTAAGACAAATAATGAATTTGACTGGTCTTTTAGAAGCGACGCTTCCGCATTCGGATAGTAATTGTTTATCAAATGCGCTATGGAATTGAATGCAACTATATCCTTTTAATTACATACACAATAACTCATGGGCGTGTGTGCGCGTGCGTGTATTTGTGAATCCTTCATAGCACATACATGAATGGGGAGCGGTGGTGTAGCGGTTAACGCACTGCGCTACGAACCTGGCGACCCGTGTTCGATTTTCGCTCACAGCCAACAACAATGACGATTATCTGAACCGGTCCTGGGCATCCGCTCCTAGGTAGACTCAGCGTCAAATGAGTACTTGGTGCAATGTGTAAATATCGCCACTAGGGAGACAAAGGCGGCCGGGAGTGGTGTTGGCCACCCACCCCCTCGTGTGCCGTGCCGGCCTTCATAGGTGCTCGCAAACAGCACTTGCCCCAACAGTCTGTTAAGGCTATAAGGGGGATCTTTGTATTGGTGAATGAGATACATATGAATGAGATACAATGTATTGGCGATTAAAATACAGACAGACAATGCAGAGAGATTCCCGTTATGGACAAGATCTAAATTGTATAATCTCCTCTCATTTAGAATGGCACAAATTGGTAATTGCCAGTCTTCAATAGACAATTTAAAAAAATTCTAATGAAGCTAATCATTTTGCTGGTTAGTGCGTTGGGCGTAAAGACATGTAATTACGACGATGATTCATTACATCCTTTTTGAAATAAGTGTTTCAGTCATTGAGTAATAAGTTCTGTAGCGCTTCAAGGTAAGCATTTAACACAAGTGTGCAGGACATTCATTATTAACCTCCCACCCAGGGTAATCCATCCTTTCTCACTTAGCGATAAATAAACCAAGGGCATTCAAACCAATAATTCATCACGTTTTTCCAGGCCAAGTCAAACACAAGTCTCTCGCATCTGGGTCTGAAATTCGATCGCCGTATTTATTCAGCATCGGTTAAACTAAAGCAAACCTTGTTCAATATAACAAAAAATATTTTAAAATATATATATAAATTATTGCACCGTAAACCAAATCACCCTGAATACGCCCAATCTCATCGGAGCTCGGAATACAAGCAGGGATGAGCCTGGTTCTTGAATTGGTTGACCAACTTTGTCTGGCCAGGAGTTGTAGGCATGGGGCAAGAGGATGGCTGGGAATTGTCGGTGGAACTTGGGCATGTGCAGCCTCGCATGCATGGGGTTTATCCAGGTTCTCTCCCACGTGCTAAAAAAAAAGATCAATAACACTGGTCAACAAAAAACAAACAAAAAATTCTGGCCTGGACTTTTGCAGCTGTTTTAGACTAATTTCAGGGTGCTGATTCCAAATCTGATCTCAGATTTGCTCTACCACATCTCATTTTTATGCTATCTGCATACCCCATTTTCATTGATTTTACCCGAAATTAACACTGTCACTTATGATTGCAAGTTGTTGCGAGTCAGTGACTGCTTTAGTGTTAAAATATGGTGCTGTATTTTTAGGATAGTGTGTTTATAATATCATTGTATGTAGATATCCACATTTATTTAATATTTTTCTTTTGCAGATTTTATTGAAAATGCAATATTTGATATCTCAAAAACCTGATGTGATAGACAAAAACTGATGCCAGATTTGGAATCAGCACCCAATAATTGCCTTAAAACCGTTGGAATACCTTATGCCAGAAAAAGTGTGTTGACCAGTGTAATCGTCACGGATTCTCATGTTGGACCCTCCCTAAAAATAGTTATTGACACTCATTTGAGACTTCCCAGGCTAAATAAGTGGCATTTATGATTCAATCTGGACGGTAGCATCTTGAGAGAGCAGTGTATTAGTCATCACGAGAGAGATAATGAACACAAGTGCAGAAAAGTCGCTCGTGCGTGCAGTCTCCAGACCAAGATACAGACGGCAGCAAGTTAAAAAGACAAACACACATATTAGTGCATCGCAGGATCCTGAGAGATGGAGGCGGCATGGTGAGACCTACATCCCTCGGTGAATTGATCATGGCTAGTGATGACGATTTATACATTATATTACACAGTAATGACATTTTAAGTGATAATTTTTTTACGACACATTCGATTTCACAGCTCTGATTTTTTTTTTAAAGGAACGCGTGTAAATGGTGACATCAAATGACTTTGCATTGGCAATGTGCCGCGTGCCTCGTGTAGCCTGTCGCAACCGACATTCTCGGGGTGTAATATTCGTTGCTCGTATTCTTCCCCCCCAGGTGTAAAACTGACACCGAGTCGACGAGGTGACAGCAGGGATTACCTCTGGGATGACTTTCGCAGGCACTGGGAGAAGCGATTCACGGAGCCCAGCGAAGGTACAATAATAGCCTCCCCTTTTTGACCCGTGTAGCCGCAGCGTCTGTGGGAGTTGCACGGCGCTGTGGCAATGACCAAACTCCACTGCTAGACCAGTAGGCGACATTCCATGGGGACTTGGACATGCGCAGCCGGTTTTGTCAATCCGCTGCTGGGTGAGGGCCACCCCACGCTGTAAAATTACCCCCCTTTTCATGCAACTGCAGATGGAGGTGAAGCAACTCGGCATTTGGCGAGAGTTGTGGTTGCTGACCTCTCTCGACCCGCGGCCGCTGTGATGCACAAACAAACAAAATGGCGGATCACCACGCCCCCATGAAAAATAGAAACATATTTTTTAAAAGATAATGAAGACTATTCTAAAAGTGCTGTCAGTTACGAGTTTAAATAAATGCATACAAACGATGAACTCTTCTTCGCCATTGATTCGTGTAGATAGCGCAATGGATAGCAACAAAAAAATGTAGTTTGATGTAAAAACTGAAATCTTAAGTAGCTGCAAAAGTCGCTCCTTCCCGCGTTCTCGGAGGCACGCGGAGCCCTGTGGGTGCGTGGCAATGTCCCAGCGGGGAGCGTCGTGAAGCCGTTTATACATTTGTGAAATTATATCGTGCGTGAGAGTCGCTGGTGAATGTAAGAAACAGAAACAGGATAAAATGTTAACTCCATATGGTAGCATAGAACGATCGTTAGCGATGTGGTTTGCAAGAGTAACTCATGAGGGTGAACAAATCACGTCATGCGTGCAGAGTGTCTTTTTATTTTGTTTTCGCTTGCAGTTACCAGCTAGTTGGGATACCTCACAAAATGGGCAATTAATTAATCACATATTGCTGTTCATTATTCACATATTTATTAATCAGAGCCATATTGGGTCAGCTAAGGGCGGGACTCGGTTGAAAAACAATCAAGCAAGGGGGGTAACACAATAGCCACAAAAACAAAAGGTTGACAACCACTGCTCTGAGAGCATGAACTCTTGGGCGAGAATGAGTCGTGTGGTTGTGCCCAATGTGCCCGTGTCTAGAGGAAGATGTTCGGTTCCCTGGCAAAGAGCACGCCGAGCCACGTGGCCACCACGTGGACGACAAGCGACTGTGGCGGTTCTGGCCGTCGGTAGAGGAGGACGTGGAAGAGGAGGCCAAAGGGCACGGGAAGCAGCCCATGGAAGAAACGAGGCGACACCACGAGGAGGATGAGGAGGAGGAGGATGATGATGAGAGGAAACGGCACCGCGAGGATGATCGCAGTGAGCCAGAGGAGAAGGATGAGGACGAAGAGGATGAGAAAGACGGCGTAGAGGAAAAGCGTCATCACGACGGCAGGCACAGCGCGGAGGGCACGAAGCGACACGCGGACCGGCACGGCGAAGAGGGGGGCGACGACCCGCGTCTTCGTGCGGACAGACGGGGCGTGGAAGAAGAGGAGGATGAGGAGGAGGAGGAAGAGGAGGACAGGGAACGTCACCATCCAAAGCGGCACCACGACGACAAGCACAGCGACGACGACGAAGAGGATGAGGAGGTGGAAGAGAAACGCCACCTCGGTGACCGGCAAAGTGAAGAGGAAGAGGAGAACAAACGCCACCATGACGACAAACGAAGCGTGGAGGAGCGTGAGAAGCATCACCATGGCGACAAGAGAAGCGAGGAAGAGCAGGGCCCTGTGCATCACCATGGAGACAGGCACAACACAGAGGAAGAGAAGCGTCACCATGGCGACAAGAGAAGCGAGGAAGAGCAGAGCCCTGTGCATCACCATGGAGACAGGCACAACACAGAGGAAGAGAAGCGTCACCATGGCGACAAGAGAAGCGAGGAAGAGCAGAGCCCTGTGCATCACCATGGAGACAGGCACAACACAGAGGAAGAGAAGCGTCACCATGGCGACAAGAGAAGCGAGGAAGAGCAGAGCCCTGTGCATCACCATGGAGACAGGCACAACACAGAGGAAGAGAAGCGTCACCATGGCGACAAGAGAAGCGAGGAAGAGCAGAGCCCTGTGCATCACCATGGAGACAGGCACAATACAGAGGAAGAGAAGCGTCACCATGGCGACAAGAGAAGCCAGGAAGAGGACAGCGACGAAGACGACAAGCATCACCATGGCGACAGAATAAGCGAAGAGGAGGTCGAGAAGCGTCACCATGGCTACGAACACGGCGATGAAGGGGAAGACGTCGAACGTCACCACGGCGACAAACGGAGTGAAGAGGACGGAGAGTCTGAAGAAGGCACGCGCAGCGAGGGGACGGAAGAGCACAACGGACATCACCGCTTAGATAAAAAGCATCACCATGACGACAGGCGGAGCAGCGAGCGCTACTTTGAGGGTCCCGGCGAGCAAAAGCGTCACCACGACGAGAGAGCGAGCGACGAAGAGGCCGAGGAGGAGGAAGACGGCGAAAGGAAGAAGCGTCACCACGGAGAGGCGAGGCGCAACGAGGAGGAAGATGAGGAAGAGGAAAAGAGACACCGCGAAGAGACAAGACATCGCAGCAGCGACAGCGAAAGCGAGGAAGATGAGAAGCGACGCCGTGGAGGAGGCCAGAGCGATGAAGAGGAGGAGCAGGACAAAACGCATCATCACGGAGATGACAAGCGCCACAGCAGCAGCGTGAGCGAGGACGACGATGCTGAGGACGACGAAGACGAGCGTCACCGAGAAGAAAAGAGGGCACGGCACGAGGAGTGGGAGAGTGAAGGTGACGGAGAGAAGGACACGAAACGCGACGACGACGACGACGATCGTCACCATCATCGTCGTCAGCGCAGTCACCGCCACCAGGACAAACGCTCCAGGGAAGAGGAGCGACGGAGCGAGGAGAGCGAGCGGCGGCAGCGTGGCCAAGCACGCGGCTCGGAGGAAGAGGGACGCAGCTCGGAGGAGAAGCGGCTCAGGGAGAAGCGCAGCGACAGCGGCGAGGGGGACGCGGCGAGCGCGGAGGAGAAGAGGCCCCACCGGCTCCTCGCTCACGCCGGGGCCAAAGACGCACAGAGCCCCGAGAAATTGCCCGGCGACGACGAGGAGGAGGAGGACGAGGAGGAGGAGGAGGAGGAGAAGAGCGAGGAGCATGGGGGGGGCAGCAGCGCGGAGGAGAGGCGTCACGCCACGTCGGAGGTCGAGCGACCGGACCCCGTGGTGGACGCCGACAAGCGCACGACGGAGTCGGCCAGTGACGAGGAGACGAACCAGTTCAAGGTTCACAAGAAGTGCGAGTCGGAGGAAAACGAAGGTAAAGATTCGGAGGTACGTGTGGCCAGGGCAAAGCCCCCCCCTGCTTGGAGTCAGCGGAGACTATTCCGTTGTTGCTGTTGTTGTTGTTTTTTTCTAAGTTCAAAATGGAATTCCGGCGTGACGCTTATGTATTAGTTCATTTAATGTCCGTTGTTGTTACTATTAGCGGTGGTTTGACAGATTTGTGATCGTTACATCGCAGGGTCGTGAGGGATGGCAACAGCTTTGGCAGGCCATCATCCAGCAGTGGATTGGTCATGGCTGATGGATGATGATTATAATGGATTTCCTGCAGTCACGAAAGTTTCAAACCAAGATTGACGTTCATAATATTCGCACGATCGTAATCTCTGCGGTGGTTTTAATGTTTGGCTTCTTATTTTGCTTGCGAGAACAAAGACAAAGATCCCCGCATAGCCTTAACAGACTGTAGGGGCAAGTGCTGTTAGCGAGCAGCACCTATGAAGGCCGGAACGGTAGACAAGGGGGTGGGTGGCCAGCACCACGCCGGGCCGCCTTTGTCTCCCCAGTGGCGATGTTCATACATCGCACCAGGTACTCGTTTGAGGCTGAGTCGACCTAGGGGAGGATGCCCAGGTACCGGTTCAGATAATCATCACCAGTGTTGGTCGTGAGCGGGAATCGAACCCGGGTCGCCAGGTTCGTATCGCAGCGCGCTAACCGCTACAACTACCGCTCCCCACACACATACACAAAGATAAATATCCCCCGTATAGCCTTAACAGACTATAGGGGCAAGTGCTGTTAGCGAGCACCTATGAAGGCCAGAACGGTACACGAGGGGGTAGATGGCTAGCACCATGCCCGACCGCCTTTGTCTCCCCAGTGGCGATGTTTAGCTAACCGCTATACCACCGCTCCCCACACACACACATACACACGCGCACGCGCGCGCACGTGCACACACCCGCGCGCGTGCACGTGCACCCTTGACCCTTTGACCCGTGCCAGAGTTACCGACGCAGTCTTTCAGTATTGCGTGCAGGTGTGGTATTGTCAGCGCGTGGAACACCTGGGTCACGCCAAAATGGTCTCGTCACGATCGCGATGACGTCGTTGACTGAACGACCCAAAGACATCCAGTGGACGGAGAAGACGAGAGAGACATGCAAATGACGGCAATCGAAGCGTGATTATGTGGACGTTCGGGCTTCAGCGGCTGTGTAATAAATCAGGGGTCTGGCCGAGTCACGCGAGAGCTGACACAGACCGTGGTGGCGGGCGTGCTAACAGGGGTGTTACACGGTTGGCAACGTACGGTGCGAAAGAAGTTCAACAAAGAGAATAGACGAATATCCCCCCCCCCCCCCCCTGGCTGTGTAGCCTGTGACAGAGTGTGGGGGCAAGTGCTGTTAGCGAGCAGCACCTATGAAGGCCGGGGGTGGGTGGCCAGCACCACGCCCGGCCGCCTTTGTCACCCTAGTGGCGATGTTTACACATCGCACTGGGTACACATTTGATCGCTGAGTCGACCTAGGGGAGGATGCCCAGGACCGGTTCAGATAATCGTCACCGGTGTTGGCCGTGAGCAGGAATTGAACTCGGGCCAATAACCCACCAATCGGCACCAAGTGACGGCGACGTCACCACGGCGCCTGTGCCAGGCCAGGTGCACTTTGAGGCTCGCTGGCAGCAGCAGGTCACGGGACAGACGCAGCAAGTGCCATGGGTCGGCTGGCTGAGATAACGCACCACCTGTGCCCCCTACCGTGCCAGCTTGCTGTATTTTATCCGCCCGGCGCTCCGCTCGTTGTTGTGAGCGTCGCTCCTCTGCCCGCCAGTTGTTGTTGGGAGGGCGATTTGCCTTCCAACCGCCCAGTAGCAGCAGCAGCAGCGTCCTTCACGAGCCTCCACCACCACACACCACCACACACCACCACACACCACCACACACCACCATACACCACCACACACCACCACAACCGTAGTCGGCAGGCGATCAGCGCGTGCCCCCTGGCACGGTCGACTCGACGCCTCGTCGGAGAGACGACGCGATCCGCTCACAGTCGTTTGCGTTGCCCTTTCGTTTGCAGGTGAAAGAACTCACGAAGTTGGCCACGATGGAAGCCGAGCTGGAGAAAATTGTTCAAAGGTTGAGTGCAGCTAAAAGTTAGCGTGGCCCCGTACCGGGGGAGCTGCAACGACCACCACCACCTCCACCACCACCTCCACCATCACCCGCTCCCCCAGCGCAGCGCTTTCATCGGCAGCCAGCCCCCGCTCCACACACAACACACGCACACACAACATCTATGATATCTCTATATCCCGTGCCGTTTATTTCCGCTGTGTTTGTGATGGGCCAGCGTTGTCGTGGCTGATAAATGTCACCCCCTACCCCCACACACACTCACCGGTGCACGTGGGTGTTTGTTAGCCTGCGGTAACAACAACAAGAAACCAGTGGCGGTCGTGAGATGAATATATATGAAACCGTGCATGATTTGTGTAAGCGGTGTTTTATTTATTTGTTTAGTTGCCGTGCGTTGATGAGCAGACGAGACGCATTGATTGCAGACTGAAAAAGCTGAACCCGAAAGCGCACGGAGAGTGTTCGTTTATCGTTGGTTTACCCGTTCGTTCTAATCACAGTCTCGCCCGAGTGTTTTGTCGTTTTGCCGTAATGCAAATAAAACGTATTAATTGCAAGCATACCAGTTTGTTGTCCGATGTTATATTCCTGACGTCATCTGGTCCAACCCATGTGAGACTAGGCTCTAAGGAAAGCTGTCTCGGGTGTGGACCAATCAACTTCAAGGACAGTGCACATTATCAGAGTTATGTTTTTGTTTGCATTATGACTGCAGGTATTGTGGTAAATGCAAACATGACTCCTTGTAAAAAAAGGTGTCAATTTTGTTGCCAGATAGAAGGGTTAAAAACCAATTATATATATTTTTACTGGCAAATGAGGTTCCAATGGTGTTCGACGCGTCGTTCAGCCTTAAATGTAGGCTCCACTTGTCATGGCCCCGACACAGAATATGCATTCACCAACGTGGACGTCGTGAATCAGGCCCGGTGCCGCACAGCCCGATACGACACACGAGCAGGAAGAACGATTCTGCACAGCGACCACGTCCCAGAGATATGAAAAGTCACGCGCAGAATCACAGGGAAGAGTCGTGCGTGAATTATCCGCGTGACGCTACATTGCACAGACAAATGTAAAGACGCGAGAGTTTAAAAATACATTTTCTCTCAGATGGTTATGCATTCACCCTTGCCCCTGTGAGATTCCATATTTACACAGTTCGAAGAAATCCACAGTCCAAATGCGAAGAGACTAATATGGTTTGGAGATAACGATAGAAAGGATACAACTCTAGCACTGCAATAAAGAATGACTGAAGCAACGCAGCAAGAAGAGTTCACGTGGTACCACCGTCACTCTTAAGCTGATGGGAGGGACACAAAAACAAGATTCATTGGATCTTTTTGCCAGTATCAAAAAGGTCCCATAGATATACTGTAACTGCTCATCTCGGGCGTATTCATGCTTACACACTTGCATTGCTTATATAATGATCCCCTTTTGGCGTTCTCTGGTCTAACCCTGGTGAGACAATGCCATAAGGAAGACTGTCTGGTGTAGGCCTATCAGTTTCAAAGACAATGCATACATTAATTATCAGAGCACATTTGCATGTTTTGATACAAGTATGTGTGGCTAATACATACTTCATGCCTTGCAATAGGTATCTACTTGGTGGTTGAACATCGTAACACCTGTTTTACCGCTAGAAAGGCTAAAGCCTAAGTTCGTATCGGAGATGGCTGTTGGCTTGCGAGAGTGGGTGGTTGAGGACTACAACGGGGGAATTCGATGAGGTCCAAGATGGGCAAACCCTCGCACTCGGTGGCTTCACAATCACTCAGGCGGCATGGGGAAGGAAATGCCTGCTCATGCAAATGTGCTGCACAATATCTTGGACTTCCCAAATGCTTATACAAAGGGTTCTTCAGAGTTGCATTAGCTCAGCAGCCATACGAACTGTTCATTCTATTTTTATACATTACAGACGTTTCCTCCACAGTGTAAAAATAATTCTAAAGAAATTGTCCAGGCCCTTTCAAAATCAACTATTATTTGAAGAGCTTCCCAGACGACATTTCAGTCGTGGGGCTTGTCTGGCCATACTTCACTACACTGTACTCTTTGGTTTTTTCGGTAAAGGCAGTAATTTTGCTGTGACGGTGCCACCTGAAGACGGAAGCTTGTGTTGCCTCCGAAACGTCGTGATTTAATTTATTTTTATTTAATTTTTTACCTACGTGACTTAACCGAAAAAATTAAAAGTATGGACCCTTGCAGCCACGAAAACTTCAAATCTAGAATTCACCACACTGGTCAATGTTAAGGATGTTATCCGTGGTTGAGAATCGAGCTCAGGTGGGCGCAGTAGAGTGAACAAAGCATTGCCACGCACCAATGTAGCAATATTTCCAGTGATCGTTCTCGCAGCATAAATAACAATACCTGGATGATAATTTAAGATCAAGTCAAAGCGAGCGATTTCCTTCGCAAATGAGCATTGAGGTGGTGTCAATCCACTGTTTTCTGTCTTAAATCAGATATTGAAGTACAGAAAATTGTGCTGCGTTATGATCTTCACACAACGCTCTTCTATTTCTGTTTTCTCAGTCGGCTCGATAAAGCAGAGCATCGGTGAAGTAACGCTTCCAACATTTCGACCGTGAACTTACACCACACGTTCACGGTTTCCTTAACGTCACACAACGCAGCGTGGACTTAGAGCAGTGGTTCTTAACCTGCGGGGTGCACGCACGCCCTGGGGTTATGAGATGACCTTTCTGGGGGTGTGAGACATTGCCAGATTTTTTTCGAAGGTAAATAATCTAAATACAAATTAAGCACGTACAGTAAGTAGAACGACTTTGTTTCACGTATTAACGATACACATTTTTAGGATTGAGAACCGAAGGGGGTGGAGGCTGCAGTGAGGGTTAAGAACCACTGACTTTGTTACTCTGTGCAACAAACGACTCTGCAGGGGCTGAGCGGATGGGACGCAATAAACAAGCCTCAGGGGATAGGGGAAGTTTGGAGAGATATGAAAACACAGATTAGCAGCTGCCACTATTAGTGCAACAAAACAAACTGCATGTGTTTTTTTTCGTCTTAACCCAACAGCATAAAGACACAAAGCACGTTCCATTAAAAACCACACACACACACACACGTGCCCGTTCAGCTTTTGTAATAAATTACACTGATTACAAAAATGGTGCACTAATAGCCAAGGATTGTGGGGTATGAATGACCGAAACTACATGGGAAAGATCAACGATTTTGCGATTATTTTTGTTTTGCTTGTCACGTAGGAAAGCCGATTGCAACATGGGAAAGATCAACGATTTAGCGATTATTTTTGTTTTGCTTGTTACGCAGGAAAGCCGATTGCGATTGCGTTTCCTAATTAAGTACTTTGTGGGTAATTTTGGAAATTTGTAACAATTTGGATCATGATGCTGGCAGATGATGGCCTATTAGAATGACGTAAGGAGATATTTTATCATCGATGTGCTGTGAAGCAGCCGACTCATGTTACGTTTAACACGTAGCAGGCTTTCGCGACCGATATTATTCATCATAAAGGTTTTTGGATTAAATCGCGTAAGTATAAATGTGTCGTAACCCTCCACCACCCGACAGAGCCAGTAAGGTTTGTCACGTAAACAACGCGCCAATTGCTGGCTGTGTCGGGTCGTGGAGGGTTACGACACATTTATACTTACGCGATCTAACCCAAAAACCTTTATTATGAATCATATGTTACGGTTAATAAAACCCCGCAGTATTTACCGGGGCGACCTACAGGAATCCACCGCAAAACTCTGGAACAAGTTGCAAACGCACTACCGCTGGGCCACGTTAAACCAGCTCATGTCAAAAAGGGAATTAGGATTTCATTCGTATGAGAGAGAAAGAAAAAATGAACCCGTAAAAACAAAGTTTTTCACTATAAATCCTTTATATGCGTGTTCAATGGGCCACAACCCAGCCCACATTAGTCTTTGAAACGGGCGGCTAGAGTCCTCTCGTCCTCTGGCTTGAGATGGCTGCCACCTATGGGTCAGATGCTTGCCTGCCACCATTAAGCAATTGGTAATTAAATATAATTTATTTTTTCCTAAAAAGTGTAAAATTTTGGAGAAAAATTTTTCACGAAAATAAATTGTCACGCACAACGAGTCTGTGTGCAAAATGTCAGCTCGATTGGATCACGGGAAGTGGGTTAAAAAACGACCGAAAGATTTGCACGGTCATAAGCGCGCAAGCAAGCAAGCAAGTGCACTTAATACAGTATAAAGGATTTTAAAAACACATCTGCTCACACAATAGCGCCATCAGTGCAAGAGCAATATCTGGCACCACGTGACAAAATTATGATCCACGATCTCGTTCAGGTTTTTTTTTTTTACAGGCTCACATTATTAGACTCCGGCATTAATAATACATAATCTCTCTTCTGCGTAAACGGCGCTGAACTCAACGCACTCTTGTGAGTGCATTAGCGTCCGCCCTTCTTTACTCTGAGCAATAGGCTGTGTCAACACGCTCGCGGGGCACGATCCACGTTCGTGGAAAATGCACCGCGCGTGCCACGTCGTCACGTGTTCTGAAAGGACGGGCAAAGGCGCAGGCCTGCAATTGCTTGCACACGCCAAGCGGACAGGAGGGCCTCTCCACTAGAGGTACCTCTAGAGCCCATGGTTCTTAACCTTCACTGCAGCCTTTGTGCACCGTTGATTCTCGATCGTAAACAATTGTAAATAATGTTAATACATTTCAATTTAAAGCTTTCGTGACTGCAGGGATTCATCTTCTTGGTTGTTTCGGTAAAGTCACGTAGAATGGAAATAATAAAATAATAAAAATAATTCTCACGACGTTTCGACCACAACGCAAGCAGCCGTCCTCAGGTGAAGAACCGGTCTGTCGAGAAGACAGAGTCTGAATGTTAAAACATACAAAGGGTTTGATGAAACAAAGTCGTTGTTCTTTCGTGCCCGTGCTTAATTTGTGTTTTGATGATTTACCTTCGAAAAAATATCTGGCCATGTCCTGCACACCCAGAAAGGGCATCTCGCAACCCTAGGGGGTTGCGTTTACCCCAGGTTGAGAAGCACTGCTCCAGAGAGCCCCTTCTGGAGGGTATTTGGTCTACTCTTCCACGCCGGCTAGACATCTTGGAACGAGGTGGAGGAGTGCTCACACCGTGGCGTTACCTAAACACATTCCTCCTGCGGAGGGAGCTGGTAGCAACGTTGGGTTGCTCGGTCAATGGCCAGGGTCAACGGCGGCGTGGTGTATTCCGCAAATATGCCCGACTGTGAGGGCGGGCACGAGCCGGCGTGAGTAGGTTAAACGTTGAGTTTTATAAGGGCACCACGGGGTGACCAGCCCCTCCCCTCCCCACCCAGCCCCACCCCTCCCACCCCCCACCTAGCCCCTCCCCACCCTCCCGTACCCACCCAGCCCCTCCCCACCCTCCCCACCCAGCCCCTCCCTCCCCACCCTCCCCTCTCCACGCAGCCCCACCCCTCCCATTTTTGGATGCACGACGGACGGACACAATAATCCCCTGTGGGCTAGTGTAACCAGGAGGTTCCTACCAGTATTATTCTACTGCTGTGTGGACACGTACACACGGCATGCAGGAAACTCGCCCATTGCCGTAAGATTATTATTTTTGCGAGACCGCGTTGGCAGTGGTCCACAAGCATAAATAACTTGTACATTTGCCAATAACTTTTTTTTCCCGAGGTGAATAAAAAAGTGCACGTATCCGACTTTTCTGTAAATGGCATGTTCCTTATCGGTTTTCTTTGGTTTCTTTGCTATTGATATCAGTCAGACTAGAATCCGAATCTATTTACACCGGAGAAATCCGGTGAGCAGCGAAGCTCTTTTCCACAGGCGTCCAGTAGGGGCGGGTCAGCAAGTTACCTTTGACCCGAAGAAGGGGTCATTGCACGGAGCAAAACGTCGCCTATTCTCTGCGTGTTATCGTTGGCAGCGTCATGGGAGGAATGTTTTTTTTCGTATATAAGGTTGAAACGGTCTTCTGCAGATTCCACTTTAGTTCACGTTCTCTCTCCCCTCCGTCTGTCTCTGCCCTTCTCTCTCGTGAGTCACCGCAGCGCCCAGAGCCGCAGTGGCGTGGCCGAAATTTGCCGGTTAATTTTGCAAGAATTTCCCAGAAATGGAACAAGATAGAAACAAAACTCAACATTATAAAAACAATGGCTTAGGAGCCTTTGCAGACAGGAAGCGACGCGGTAGGCACGGCCACTTTAGAAACTTCCTTCTTTAGGAGTGGTGGGTGGGGGGTGAGCCGTTAGGGCTCGATTCTGTTGTGGTCGAGCTTGCCTGATGCGACAAAGGCACCGCGAGACTTGCAAGATTGTTGCTTAAAGCGGGGTGGGTAAGAAAAATAAAACTGTGGATAAATCGAAGAGTCCACATGGAGATCATTAAGCAAGGATATTTGGTGAAAAGGGTAAGAGAGTGCTTGTATGCGTGGTGTTGGCTTGTTGACGTGTTTTACTTGTGATGGGTGACATTGCTTTTGTTATGTGACCCAGTGCTTCGTTCGCTCGTGCATTGCGCTAATGAAGCTCGTTTTGCCATTGGACGGGAAAGCACAACGGCTTATATGAGGTGCCTCTTTTCCAAGAGCATTTCATAATCCAGCTGCATTCGTTCAACAAGCCTGTCTCCGCTGATGAGACCCAAACCGTCGGAACCGGTCTAGGGTTTGCTTAACACTATCTGTCTGAAAATCCAATAAGCAGAAATATGTATTTATATTTGGGAGCACGTAACAGAGTTTTGCGTAAACGGCCACGGCTAACGCCAGTGGCCAATATCCTTCCCAAGACCGCTCTAAGCAGCCAGTGGTGAAGTTTGACCAAAGAACCCTCCACGATCGGTCAAATGTGTAGAGGCCTTCATCCGGCAGTGGATTGACAAAGAGCTGAAAATTATAATGATTTTACCAGTTGTTAATATTTTATGATTAGCCTACTGTCTGTGTCACTGATGCTGAGCTGAGTGGTTAATGCTTCTTCTGTCAGGAGGCCATTTGATGGATCAAATTGATTATTTCATAGAGCGACATCGATGCTAATTGCGAACATCGCAAGCCGCGTTTACATCTAAAATCCTACAGAGACACTACAGAGACAAAGCACAAGACGCGATATGAGGTACGAAAGTGAACGTAACACGAACCGGATAAATCGACAATAAATTAAGCTCCTAACATCGGCGAAAGTCTGGAGAAGAGCGAGGAATTATTGGGAACATCACAACTAAATGCCATGGATGGTGTGATACACATGTTCACGGCGCTCGTAATAGAGCCACGAGACAACAATGAAAACATTGCCATGTCAAGCAGCCGAGGACGAGTTTCCCAAAGTCAACCGTTGCGGAGTGTAAATTGAATAGGCACTCGTATGTAGGTGTGTTCTGTTTGGCTTCATACGTTTACATGGTGGTCATGGATCATCATTGGCACTCGTCTATCCAATGCTGGATTAAGAATGCATTGACGTGGCGCTGCTAACCCCATGCGGCAGCAATGCCACAACCAATATCACTCTTGCACACACAATACACACAATACACACGCAATACACACACAGTACACACAATACACACACAGTACACACACAGTACACACAATACACACGCAATACACACACAATACACACACAGTACACACACACAGTACACACAATACACACACAGTACACACAATACACACGCAATACACACACAATACACACGCAATACACACACAATACACACATAGTACACACACACACACAGTACACGCAATACACACACAGTACACACAATACACACACAGTACACACACAGTACACACAATACACACACAGTACACACAATACACACACAGTACACACACAGTACACACAATACACACACAGTACACACAATACACACACAGTACACACACAGTACACACAATACACACACAGTACACACACAGTACACACAATACACACGCAATACACACACAATACACACACAGTACACACAATACACACACAGTACACACAATACACACACAGTACACACACACAGTGCACATAATACACACACAATACACACACACAGTACACACAATGTACACACAATACACACACACAGTACACACAATACACACACAGTACACACAATACACACAGCACACACACAATACACACACACAGTACACACAATACACGCACAATGTTGTCCCACGTCCGGCTGCAAAGCTGCAATCGAGTGAGATTCACACCGCATTCTGTAGAACGAATTCTGGGTTGAAATCGGTGAGCCCGGAGGTCGGCGACTTGTTGCTCCGAATTCGCACGCGACTCTTTAAGGGCCGCTTCGTGACGTTCATCTATTCGGGAGTCGCCGTCTCGTATCCACATTGCATTGTGGTCCTTGAAATATTTATTAGTATATTTTGGTACTGGCAAAGGAGGTGCCATGATGTAGCTGCTCACCCCGAGCTCTCAATACTCTGGTGGTGCGTTGTCTTTGAACTGTGCGCCTTTTTGCGTCATCTGGTCGAACACCATATGAGACTAGGCTCTAAAGAAAGCTGTCTCTGGTGTGGACCAATCAGTTTCAAGGACAATGCATAAATTATCAGAGTATTGTTTTTTGTTTGCATTTGACTGCAAGTATTGTGGTTAATGTAAACATGATTAATTGCAAAAAGGCGTCAGTTTTGTTGCCAGAAAAAAGGGGAAAAACCCTATTAGTATAGGTTTTTTTTACCGAAAATAATTACGATATTATTTTGATTGCCAGGTCTGGGTAAGCCGCATTCACAGGAAATCGCACAAACAGAACCCGCACAAAGCGAGGGAAACATGTCGAACCAGCCAGTCTGTTCCAAAATCAACACCACCTATCGGAAACAAAATCATCTTTCGCGGTTTGCCTCGTGTGTTAGCATGCACCGTGAATCTCGGGCGACACACTCGCATGATTGATAATTAATCAGTGTTTGTGATGGCTTTTATTGCTTCCATTGAGGTCTCACAAGAAAGGAAATTGATTTCCTCCCTGCACGGGCACAGGCGATATATCGCAAATATCATCATCGGCCGGAGCTCCCGAAGAGCGGGTGGGGAACACCAGCTGTATCATTTCATTTTTTTTGCTGGAGAATCTCATTTTAAATTAACGGCAGGGGCAAAGCCCACGGATCTCCAGAAGTGATATCACACACGGCGGCCGCTACAGCTGTGATTGCCGTGCCGACTAACCTTTTCTGGAGAGGAATCTGGCAATTGTCCATATCTGAACAGAGTTTGCAGTTTCAGGTCCGTTGATGAAAATAAACGCGGCGGCGGCGACGCCACAAGAGGTTACTTAAGAGTCAAGACTTTGAAATTTGGCGTGGGTTGCGCGTGCGCGTGCGTGTGCGCGCACATCTGTGGGTGCACATTAGTGGATCTACTCATCCGGAAACGAGTACAGTGCCTGCATGGTGCGATGTGTAAGCATCAGCACTGGGGAGAGACAAAGACGGCCGGGCGCGGTGCTGGTCACAAACAAAACCAGCCTTCGTGTATTACTTGCCCCAGCTGTGTGTGTTCGACTGTGACACGGGGGATATTTTTTATTTCTTTGCATCACAGCGAATGCTGTGATAGTGTCTGTGGACAAGTCATTTCATTTCACAAATCGGTTGGTGCAGCGGTCAGCGCGCTGCGCTACGAACCCGGCGACCCGAGTTCGATTCCCGCTCGCGGATCCACAAACACCAGTGACGATTTATCTGAACCTGTTCTGGGCCTCCCCTAGGTCGACTCAGCCTCAAACTAGGACCTGGTGCAGTGGGAAAACATCGCCACGAGGAAAATAAAGGCGGCCGGACGTGGTGCTGTCCACTCACCCCCTCGTGTGCCGCTAACAGCACTTGCCCCAACAATCTGTTGAGACTATGGAGGGGAGGGGGGGTCTTTGTCATTGTCATTTAACGAGTCACGCCTGCACCTCCTGCCAGCGAGACTCCGACACTGCACGTGGTCGCAAAGTGCACTTAGCCTGGCACAAGTGCTGTGGTGATGTCATCACCACTTAAGGGTGGACAGGGAGGGGGAGGCTATTGTTTTTGTCTGTGGGTGAGCACACAATACAATGCCAATATATACAGCATCTAATTGTGACCAACTCAACGAATTGATAACCAGAATAAAGGGTTTTTTGGGGGGGTGGTTAGATCGCTTAAATATGAATGTGTCGTTAAACCCGCCACCACCCGACACAATCAATTAGTACGGTTTGTCACGTAAACAGAACGTGCCAATATCGTTACTACTTCAGCAAGTGACGACAACATGACGACAACTACGACTGCTGCCCAACACCACCGTCACCATCATCATCATCGCTCAATCATCATCATCATCATCACCATCAAGCCATGACCATCGTTGCTCACCAGAGGCCAAAGCGTGCGACTGGGACGACGTTTGACTCGATCTGAATGAAGACGCAGACTCGGAACAAGGAGGGTGGCCTCGTCCGAGACTGCGACGCGCTGAGGAGGACCGAACGTCGTGAGTGGCCCAAACCTCAGCCTCCAGACAGACTGACCCGATCATTAACCAGGGAAGGGGAAATTGCCCATCCCTCACGCCGTCATCGAACGACCAGGAGAGAGTGCCCCGACTTAAACGCGACCGCTTTAATCGACGGCACTCACAGAACCACGCAAGGAAATCCACAGACTAAGCAAGCCTTAAAATAAATGACGCAAATTTCAAAACAAAAAAAAGTGCTGGCCACTCGTAACACAGCTCGGCACTCGGTCGGCACGCACGCATTTCACGTGCGCGCGCACAGCCCGCCGTGTCGATCTACTTGCAAGGACGTCAGCGAAATGCGTCCGTGCTTCAACCGCGCTGGTCAGTTCGCGGTTGGTGAAGGTGCCGCGGGGTGCCGATGAAGAGTGGAGTTTGCCCTAATGCCCTCTCCTATCCCATAACGACCACCACGCCTGCATCTATCCGCACATGGTGCTCAACCAGATGGCAGAGCGGTATCCAGGCACGAGCCCCGCCTAGCCACCGAGATGCGACGAGATGGGGGCGCGCGTGCATTCCGGGGCTGCTCGGTCATTGCTGTGCGAATCCGCAGGGCCACGTTGTGCACAACTGGAAGGCGCGCTGGTTCATGCTGGATGGAGAGAGCCTGACCTACTACACGTGCAAGGGCGAGGTTTCCTCCAAGGGCTCCATCCCTCTGAAGGACTGCCAGATCGTCAGCCCGTGCCTGGACTACAGCAAGCGCCCTGTGAGTCGTCCGTGCCTACTGTCTGCAGCGGCAGAGGCGTAGCTAGGGGGAGGGGGGCAGGGGGGTACATATGTCCCCGGGCGCCAAGGTAAAGGGGCGCCAAAATTAGGCTTGCAACGTTACATTATAACTTATTGCGGCGGTCGCGGCAGCCTGAAACTACTGCACAAATCTACACCTCAACTTAAAAGTTTATATATCCCGCCACACACAGCCTACATGTCTTGTAATTACATTTTTGGTATGTGAATAAACGGGGGGGGAGGGGGGCGCCAATTTTGTAGTTCGTCCCCGGGCGCAAAATATCCTAGCTACGCCACTGCGCAGCGGCAATGTGGGGGCGGGAGGGAGGGGGCGTTGAGCGGTGCGCATCACTCCGCGTTCGAGAACGGCCCGCGGAAGGAGATATCACAGAGCTGCGTCTAATCTTTGAGGTGTCCTCTTTTATCCACGCGCTGGAAGACGCTGCACTCTCGCCACACGCCCTGATACGTCGCATATCAGTCACGCCAAACGTTTTGTGACATTCTCAGAGCTGGACGTTTGCCAAATTTAGTGACGAAAGAAATATAATACTTTTTTTGTGTGCAGCCCTTTTGTTGCTGGGCCGAGACCATCATCTCATTACACTTGGTCACAGGTGGCTGAAACCCAGATTCGAACCCAGGGCCTCGGGAGTGCCAGGTCATTGCTCTGACCCTCTAAGCCACCCACGAGTTTCCTCAATCAGCTTTGGGGGAGGTCATTCTTCGTGGGTCCATGACCCACGAGAACCACATTCGCACGTACCGCACTCGATAATGCCGTAGCGTTCTATCTTAATCTGCTGTTAGCTGTAATCATCAATGTTCTTCTTATTAACGTTGCAAAATTAACCACATTTCAGCAAACTGTCATGCCCAATAAATTGAAGTTGCATTTTATTCCACAATAATTTGCAGTACAGTAAAGCATTGCAAACTGATTATATTAGCGCGTATAATGAGATTTCATACACTATGTACACTAATATATTTACAAACAATTACAAGAAATAGCTGTGTAATTGTGCTGCATTATATTCGAACCATAAATTTTTATGATATTCTTAACCCAATAACAAAACAGCACATTCATATATTTTCATGAATTATTCATGGGTTTGCATTAATCTAAAACAATATAATTGGCCGATAAAGAATTCTGTGGAAATTAAACATTAGCATTCAAAGCAATACAGGATATGATTGAATACTGGCAATAATGCTACTTATTGCCACTGAGATCCAGTATCAGTGGAGCACGCATTGAACACAATGAATACGATTAAATCAAACGTTTCAACTGAACCAAATTTCCCATTCTAATGCGTTCACCGCGGGTTTTTTTTGCGGAATTTGTGCAGGCAGTTACAAAGAAGGACATTACCGCTGCTCATTCCTATTGCTCCGATTAACAGGCGCAGATGGCAACTACCGTTCCGTGAATATGAATCGTGATGTTCCTACTGCACGGATTAAACACCGCGTCTCTTTTTAAATCCTTTATATTAAGTTCACTTGCTTGCTTGCGCGCTTACGACCGTGCAAATCTTTCGGTCGTTTTTTAACCCACTTCCCGTGATCCAATCGAGCTGACATTTTGCACACAGACTCGTTGTGCGTGACAATGCATGTTCGTGAAAAAAAAATTCAAAAATTTTACACTTTTTAGGACTAAAAATATTATATTTAATTACCAATTGCTTAATGCTGCCATGCAATCATCTGACCCATAGGTGGCAGCCATCTCAAGCCAGAGGACGAGAGGACTCTAGCCGCCACGCATATAAAGGATTTATAGTGAAAAACTTTGTTTTTACGGGTTATACTTGTTTTCACTGAAATACTTTGCCTACTTTCAATTCGGTTTTTTTGGAATAGGCCATTGCACTCGTTGCGTATCCAAAACTGACTCGAAAGAGGTGAGCGCTGTTGGACAATCAATCGTTCCCAACCGTGCACTGCTGGTCTTTGAAACATAATTCAAGTGATTATAATCTGGTGTTTCGTGAGAAAATCGTATCTGCAACAGCACCACGGACCACTTATCACGGTCTGACGGAGACCGCTGTAGATCATCTCACCGAAACGTTAAGTTAAAATAAGAGTTATTGTTACATATTGTTCATTATTGCTTCATGTTGTCATCATTTGATTCACGGTTTCGTACAACGTTGTTATTGGCCTTTTGCTTTGTGTTACCCACAATTCCGTTGAAAATGGGAACATCAGTCTCCTGCGCTTGCCATTAACCTGCATCCAGCAATGATGTAATCGAAAAACACCACTGAGGAATTGCAAGTGGGAAAAAAAACATCTTAAACGTCCTTCCCTAGTCGTGACTAAAGACCCCCAAGCATGGACTAAACTCTTGGTCTGTGCTCTCTCTCTCTCGTTCTCTTTCGAGAGCACTTGCACTAGGGCAGGTCCGTGGCTCAAGCTCCCTCCATTCCCATCCAACCCCACTCCCTCTATTCGCTTTGCAACACCACACCCTGTCTTAATTTGAAGCTTTCGTGACTGCAGGAATCCATACTCTTTCGTTATTTCGGTAAAGTCACGTAAGCATGGCCTGCTGCTGATGCAGACTGTTTAAAAAAAACAGTCTGCATCAGCAGCAGGCCACGCCTTCCCACCTGATGACGGACGCTTGTGTTGCGCCCGAAACGTCGTGATTTATTTTATTTTATTTGTATACCTACGTGACTTTACCGAAAGAACCACACTCTGTGCCAGGGTGCCCGAGTCATAACCATGGAAGAAGAGTTGAGAAGGTTGAGCTGTCATCCGGCTTCAAAGAGATCGTATCTATCGTCATCTACAGTAAATGATGCTGAATAAACTCCGTAGCATGTGGCTTCTTCTCCATGCGTATGGTTTTGCATAATAACCCATAACTCCGTGTCCAGCTCTGATAGCTCACACACAGCCTCGGGAGAACGTGAGTGGATGTCGTCAATGCCGTAGTGAACAGATTCACAATGCGGATCACTACGCTCTGGCCAGAATTTCCACAGTCGCATGCCGCTGGGATTTCTCTGATTTTCTCCACACGGACGCGGGTGCTGTGGTTTAGTCGGCTCAGCGTGCGTCATCGTTTTTTGAGGCAGTTCTAATCCGGGGTGGGGAGTTCGGGGGCGGGGTCGGTGTGATTCCTAACCGTGTCGTGCGCACTCCAAGACGGTCTTCAAGGTGGTCAACAAGAAGCAGGAGCTGGTGATGCAGGCCTCGTCTCTCGAGGAGCGGGACGCCTGGGTGCTGGACCTGCGCTCCGCTGCCCGTTGCCTCCAGGAAGGGCGACCCTTCACGCGGTCCTCACTGCGCCAGTCCATCCGCCTGGAGCACTCGCTCAACCTCCGGTAGCGTTCTTCTCCGGCGGACGACGGCTGCCCTGGCACCCATTTTCCACTGCCGCATGCGAGCCGAGCCAGCACGGATGGCCCTCGTGGAGAGAGGCGTTTTGCTCCCAGTGGCTTTTTGCTGTCGAGCCGAGCTGTATACAAACCGTGACTACGCTGGGTTTTCGCGAGACATCTGAATTCGACCCGGGGGGGGGCGAGGGGGGGGCAGTGTCCAAGCAGGTCCAGGGATTGATGTTAAACACAAGCTTGTTTGCCCGTCCTAGAACGGAAGCTGTAATATTTATGAAAGAAATTGAGCAGAGTATCATTGTATCTTGTGTAAATTGAATGGCAGTGAAGCTTGTGCAAAAGTATGTCATCAAACACTTCACTGCAGTTCACTGTAGCACTGTATTAATGGCAGTGATTCTTGCACAAATCTACGTCATAAAACACCTCACTTCATGTCACTGTAGCGCTGTATATAACTGACCTTCAATTTGTTCAAATTCACTGCTCTGATACTTTATTCTCTTCTGCTACCGGTCGCTGGGGTTGAAATAAATTGGTATTCGATACAATACCTGGAAAATCACCGAGAAATGTCTATTTTACTATAATGTAGAATAATAAATTAGACTTACCTTTATATCTCAAGTGCTGAAGAAATAAATAACGACCCCCAATCCACTTTGTTGCTGCGTATAATTAATTATTAGATTAACTTTCAATAAAGTAGCTTGAAACTTCAAAGAATTTGTGAAAATTTTTGTTTTTCATGCTCCACCATCTTCTGCGTGAGTGTAAAACTCCACCTGCTCATGCATTAGTCACGGGACCAGCTCTGACATCACTTTTCCATCGATGGTAGCCCATGGCGCTTGAATCGAACTTGGGTCACCCGGTTCACGGCGCCACGTGCAAACCGCAGTGCCACCGCTCCACCCCGAGTGGATATTAAGATTCTGCACCAGGGGCGTTATGATGTCACCGCCCTACTTTGTCAATAGCATCCTCCCATGCAATGATTGTCACGCCGCAAAAACTACACTGCCACACGTACAAGTTCACGCATTGCCGTTCGACAAAAAAAGATCGAAATTCTCCTTTTAACAAATTGTACATTTCCTTGCTTGCTTAGAGAGATCTTGACGAGAATGAAAGACCCCGAGAGTGGAATCAAGTCGGAGAGTTGCAACAGCAGCAACAAGCTCTACAAAGACTGCTTCACAGGTACATCCTCCGTGAGCGTGGACATCGACAGAGTCCCTTTTGCCAATCCACTGCTGAACGAGATTCTCGCCACGACCATGCGTCTCATGAGGCTTTTTGACCATACTTCACCATGCTGGTCAGCAGGGGGTGCGGGTCCCGCGGAAAATCACACCGTGTGCCCACCCCCCCCGACAACGCCTTCAAACTAAACCGGAAGTATTAGATCTGACGCCGTTACATTGAAAAGCACGGGTCCCCCCAAAGCGCGGGGCCCGGGGCAGTCACCCCGATTCGCCATACCTCATGGATGGCTCTGCTGATCGGTGCCGGTTGGTATGAACCCTCTACTAAATAGGCTTTAAATTCCACGCATAACCATAGAGACAAAGATCCCCCGCATAGCCTTAACAGACTGTAGGGGCAAGTGATGTTAGTGAGCAAGGTGGGTGGCCGGCACCACGCCCGGCCGCCTTTGTCTCCCCAGTGGCGATGTTTTTACACCCCCCCCCCCCACCCTCTTCTTCTCTTCGCCCATCCTCAGGACCCCATGCGATCAAAACGCTTCTCCCACGTAAATCCTCCAACCCCCCGCCCCCCACCGAAGACAATGCGCCGTGTTGAAGCGGGAACAGCGCTGTGGGTTCTTGTTTTCGCAAATTCAAAAAAGTAATTTTACGAGCAAAGTGCGGTGCAAAGGACCAGTCAGTTTTTGAAAATCGGTACAAAAATAGATGCCCACTTCCCTAATAGTCAGATGTATTTCGCGATCTATATACTTTTTGCAATGTGTACTTGTGTATTTTTCGCGTGACTTGCTTACCTTCCCTATACTCTGCACTCCTATCGTTTTGAAACTGGTAGGAACCACTTAGTTCCACCAGCCCACAGGGGATTATTGTGTTCGTCCGCCCGTCGTGCATCCAAAAATGGGAGGGGTGGGGCTGGGTGGAGAGGGGAGGGTGGGGAGGGGCTGGTGGGGAGGGTGGGGAGGGGCTGGGTGGGGGGTGGGTGGGGAGGGGCTGGTAACCCCGTGGTGCCCTTATAAAACTCAACGTTTAACCTACTCACGCAGGCTTGTGCCCGCCCTCACAGTTGGCCATATTTTGCGGAATACACCACGCCGCCGTTGACCCTGGCCATTGACCGAGCAACCCAACGTTCCTACCAGCTCCCTCCGCAGGAATGTGTTTGTGTTGTTTGCTTTAACTTTCTGACCCCGTGCCCCTTACTGGACACCTGTGACGAAGGAGCTTCGTAGCTAATCGGATTCCTCCCCCTCCAGTCTAAATAAACATTTTCATCCTGATTCTGCAGCCCTTTGTCAATCGACCGCTAGATGAAGGCCTCTCCTCACCCGTGAGGATTCATGAAAGAGCCACCTGGGGACAAACACAGACATCGCTCACCACTCTGGGTTTCCACCTGTCATAGTTTTCCCAGGATCGTCCGCTATTTTTTTTTGTCAGGCAGCTGTCCTGGGAAATCTGAAGTATTCCCCGGGACATTAAAAATGCAGTTTCTGCCAGCTGCTTAGTAATACTGTTGTACAGCGCTCAAGGAAATGCATTTGCATGTGGTCTTCGCCTCTTCTGGTGTCGTGAGAAATTTCTTCTTCTTTGGTTCTTTCGGTAAAGTCACGTATAAAGATACAATAATAAATGAAATAATAGCATACGACGTTTCGATTGGAACACAAGCAATCATCATCAGGTATAAATGAAATAGCAACAAAAAATCTATTTCATTTATACCTGATGATTGCTTGTGTTGCAATATAAACGTCGTATGCTATTATTTCATTTATTATTGTATCTTTATACTTGACTTTACCGAAAGAACCAAAGAATAATTCCTGCAGTCACGAAAGCTCCAAAATTAAGATTTCTTCTTCTTGCCATGAGACGTCCCAGTTTTTGTGCCTCGGGGGGGTGGGGGGTGGCAGCCCTCCTCATGCGCTGATGTTGGCTGTGGCCAGAAATTAAGCCCAGGTGACTTGGTTCACAGCTAAATGCACCGGCCACTGTGCTTCCACTCCACCCTCTCTTGATCTACTGAACTACTGTACTTTGCTGCATTAACACATTTCTCCATTTAATATTAATGTGGGGCTGTTTATATGAACGAATAAGTGGAAATGTGCACGCACTGTACATTTCAGATCTCTTTTTTGTTTGTTTATTTTTTACGTGTGACAATTTTAAAGAGTTAACTGTTACCTTTTTAAATCCTTTATATTAAGTTCGCTTGCTTGCTTGCTTGCGTGCTTGCTTGCTTACGGCCGTGCAAATCTTTCGATCGTTTTTTAACCCGCTTCCCGTGATCCAATCGAGCTGACATTTTGCACACAGACTCGTTGTGCGAGACAATTAATGTTCGTGAAAAAAAATTCCCAAAATTTTACACTTTTTAGGCAAAAAAATATATTTCACATACATTCAAATAGAACTCATTCATCGCTTTGGCTGAACGTCACAGTATAAGAGCCCAGAGCGTAACTCCTCCACAGGCCGTGGCGGAGTAGCGCAGTTGGTAGCGCCCTCGCTTCCCATGCCAAAGGTCGCGGGATCGATCCCCGCGTCCTCCACAGGCGAATATATTTTTAAATCCTTTATATTAAGTTCGCTGCCATGCATATAAAGGATTTATAGTGAAAAACTTAGTTTTTACGGGTTATACTTATTAAATCCTTTATATTAAGTTCGCTTGCTTGCTTGCTTGCGTGCTTGCGTGCATGCTTGCTTGCTTACGACCGTGCAAATCTTTCGGTCGTTTTTTAACCCACTTCCCGTGATCCAATCGAGCTGACATTTTGCACACAGACTCGTTGTGCGAGACAATTAATGTTCGTGAAATTTTTTTTCCAAAATTTTACACTGTTTATGGAAAACAAATTAAATATTTAATTACCAATTGCTTAATACTGGCAGACAATCATCTGACCAATAGGTGGCAGCCATCTCAAGCCAGAGGACGAGAGGACTCTAGCCGCCACGCATATAAATAATTTATAGTGAAAAACTTTTTTTTTACGGGTTATACTTATTTCAGGATTGTCTGTTGCGGTGTGAGGTTGTGAGAGCCTTGACTGCCCAGGCCGCTCCTCGCTCATCACGCAGCCCAAAGTCCCGCTCCGCATATCAAGTGCCTTCGTCTACACACCAATAAGCCTCATTTCATCTGAGAGTCACAATCTCACGATTTGTTTATGTGTCTATATCGGATCACATTCTCCCCCCCCTCCCCCCAAAAGCTCGTCTTCATTGGGACGTGCTTGTTTTTTAGAAAGCGGCGATATTGGACCTTGCCTGCTCATTTTAACTCTCCACCCGTCACGCCCGGCTGCAATGCTCAACAAGGCACAGTCGTAATAAAAATCCCGGAGCGAATACCGCACGGATTTAAAGAAGCGCATTGCAATATTCGCACGTACGTTATCTTCGGGTTGTTGTTTATTGTTTACATTTTGGCATCTTGCTTTTGCCTGCGAGTAACACACGTGTACCCTTTACTCTGTTGACGTTCAAGTTCATTTATTAGGTATAGCCCTGTGAGCCATTCGGCTCCTGAATCGGGTGCAACCGCAACAAACAAAAAACAAAAACATGAACAAAACACGTCTTAAAGTGACTATGTGACTAAGTGCAAACATAAATCCAAGAAAAGACAGCAAAACATTGCAGAAAAAAATCACCGTACACCAACGCTGTGTGCAAAAATCCCAGTGGGATGCAAGTCAAACAACCAACAACAACAACAAGACAACTTAGATTAAGGCCATCAGTCTAACTCTGTACTACAACAAACAAACATGGCTAATTCTAGATTTGAAGCTTTCGTGACTGCAAGGATTCATATTCTTAGGTTTTTTCGGTAAAGTCACGTAGGTAAAAAAATAAAATTAATAAAAGTAAAATAAAAATAAAATAAAAATCATTAATTTGAATTTAAAAAATAAATTTAATAAAAGTAAAAAAATAAAATGAATAAAAGTAAAATAAAAATAAAATAAAAATCATTAATTTGAATTTTTTACCTACGTGACTTTACCGAAAAAAACCCTAAAAACATGGCTAAGCCGATGATGTCACCGTAGCGCTTGCGCGCAACCGTGCGCCCTGATGAGGGCGGGTGAAGTGCTGAGGGCTCGCTGGCAGGAGGAGGTCACGCCAGGTGCTGTGGGGTTCGTTGAGATGACTGCCTGCTGCTGCCCGCTGTGCAAACTTGCCGTGGTTTGGGCCCATTCGGTCACGAGGGTTGCTCCTCCGCCCTCCCAACGACGGGACGTTAACACACCACACACACCGTGATGATATTCCTGATGACTGCCAGTGCAGTGTTCTTCAATATGAATCAACGACGAATAGGCGGCAATGTTTCTTAAAACGCGTGAGCTGCAGCGAGCACGAGGACTGAAATGACCTTGTCACGAAAAAGTAATGGAGAACCACATTTTTTCCACACTGAGATCGATTCTAGCTCAACTTGCTCTGGGCTCTGCCAAACACTAATATACAGAAAACAGACCACATGCCTGCTCTGTCAATTCAACATTAATGAGGTGATTCGTGTAATTTGTCACATCATCGGCATGAAAAAGGTTTGTGTGCGCATTTGTGCGTGTATACTTCGTTTTTGTGGAGCGGTGGTGTAGCGGTTAGCGCGCTGCGCTATGAACCCGGCGACCCGAGTTGGATTCCCGCTCACGGCCACCAACGCCAGTGACGATTATCTGAACCGGTCCTGGGCCTCCCCTAGATCGACTCAGCCTCCAATAAGTACCTGGTGCTTTGTGTAAAAACATCGCCGCTGGGGAGACAAAAGTAGCCGGGCATGGTGCTGGGCATCCACCCCCTCGTGTGCTGTGGCAGGCTTTCAGAAGTGCTCGCTAACAGCACTTGCCCCAACAGTCTGTCAAGGCTACACGGGGGATCTTTGTCTTTGTTTGTCTTTGTGGAGTGGTAGAGCTTAGTGCACTGCACCGCGAACACGGCAACCTAAATTCGCTTGCTGACCACAGCTTATTTAAGGAGCAAGCACCTGAACGGTGCTGGGCCTCCCCTAAGTCGACTCAGCCTTAAATTAGTACCTAGTGTGGCACGATCGGAGTGTTCCCGACCTCGCCACGCGCGAGCGATCGACCGTGCGTGACTTTGCGCGCCCGCGTGCAGGCGCGTGCCAGGCGAGGGAGTTAACATCTCCTAGCCACCGTGATGATGATGATGAGAGACACGCAAACTTCAAATATACAGCAGCAGGCGTCGGGGGTCGGGATCGAACGCACGACCTCCTGTACACCAGGCGAGGGAGTTAACATCTCCCAGCAGACCTCGCCACGCGCGAGCGATCGACCGTGCGTGACTCTGCGCGTCCGCGTGCAGGCGCGTGCGTGGTCAACTGGCTCGTGTCATCGGAGGTTGTGCGAACCCGCGCCGAGGGCCTCCTCGCGTGCCTCGCGCTGCTGGACGACGGCTACGTCCGCCCGACGGGCGATCGAGCCAAGTCCGCCGCACACTCGAACTCGCAGTTCCTCGACGACACGGAGGCCCTCTACTGTTTCGTGAGTTTCTTCTTTTTGATGTTTCACCCGACGCGCTCGCGCCGCCCGGCGGTCGAAAATCGGCCAGATGGGGGGGGGGGGGATCGTCGGATTCGTGAGTTTTTTTTTCTTTTGACTTTTTTATTCTATACATACTGGAGGGAATCCGATGAGCTCCACAAAGCTCTTTTTTTCTACAGATGTCCTAAGCGTGGCGGGGGGTGGTGGTGGGTGGTGGGTCAGAAAGTTACAGCAGCAATGCAAATCACCGCTGGGAGTGCAAAATTTAGGGGGGAAAAGTCACGAAAAATCAAGTATATAAGGACAAATTGCTAAAGTATATAGACCGTGAAATACTTCTGACGATTATGGAAGCGAGAAGTATGTCCAGGAGGTCGCTCACCCCACGCCATTCCTGTTCCACCACCGGCACATCCGAGCCGTGTCAAATGGGGGGGCCACCCGTGGAGACGATGATATCTTACCTTGCAGTTGTATATTTATAGAGCGCCTTCAGTCGAGGCACTGTGACAGAGTTTTAGAGTAAACGGTGACAGAATGGAATGGTTTAGATGGCCAGAGGGCGCCAGGATTGAGGAATGAATGACCTGCAGATAGAGGGCTCTTAGGGGGGTCACGGAGGGGCAGGGGAGGGACGGGAAAAAGTGGAGGGGCGAGGGGAGGGGAGGGAAGAGAATGGGCGATGATAGAGAAGAGGTGGTGAGGCTTTAAGCGAGGAACGAAAGGAGATTAAGGAGGGAGACTGCTTAGTGTACAGTGGCAATGTTGAGTCTATGGTGTAGTGTTGATTCTATGGTGTAGTGTTGAGTCTATGGGCAGTGTTGAGTCTATGGTGCAGTGTTGAGTCTATGGTGCAGTGTAGAGTCTATAGGCAGTGCTGAGTCTATGGTGCAGTGTTGTCTGTGGTGCAGTGTTGTCTATGGTACAGTGTTGTCTATGGTAGTGTTGTCTATGGGGCAGTGTTGAGTCTATGGGCAGTGATGAGTCTATGGACAGTACTGAGTCTATGGGTAGCAGTGCTGCTGATTTGGCACAGGGAGAAGTAGGGGCAGAGAGAGAGAGGCAGAGAGAAGATTGGGAAAGACGCGGCCGGAAGGGGACATGGGAGATGAGAGACGCAAGATAAGGTGGGGAAAGGCCATGGAGAGATTTGTAAACAGGATGGAGGCTTCCGTTACGGTCTGTCTTGGCAGCTTCTACGCTCTGCAAACCATCAGCACTCAATGACTCTACAGACGCATCGCTGTGCATTACATAAGTGACACATTATGCAGAGACATACCAAGGTGCGTGTGGGTAGAATTCGCCCTAGATCACCTTGGGAATGTGGAATCTCGTGAGCAGGTTAACCCTGGTTTACCTTTGGATGGAAGAAAATGGGAAACTTAATCAATTGTCAGTGACATCTGACCAGCGATAAGGACTGAGGCTCATTACTCAATTATTGTACTTTCATTTTGCAGAGATGCATGTTTTCACTTGATGGTAAAATAAGTATTGAAGAACACATGAATGCAGGAGTGTATCTGCAATACACAGTCACACAATATTCTGACAGTTTATATAACGATGTTCAGCCCTTTTTCAACCCACTGTTGGATGAAGACGTTTCCACATCATGCCAGTCATTGTGGCTATTTCACCATGCTTCACCGTGCTGGTCGGTGTGGACAGGTGATGGTGTGAAGCATATAAGTACAGCATGCCGATACATGTTGCAGCACTACCCTTCGCTACACACCACACAGTCGCAACACGTGTGTAAATTCATAATCAACGTTTTTGGGTTTAGATCGCGTTATTTATAAATGTGTCGTAACCCTCCACCACCCGACACGGCCAATCAGTAATAAAGTGTCACGTTGACAAAAGACAAATAGTTCACTGCTTTAGCCCACCGGTGTGTTGAAGCGTGAAACCACAACATTTACAATTTGAGTAGCACGACGTTTCGCTGGTAATTGCATCCAGCATCATCGGGCAATTCGCCAGAATGGTGAGGCTCTGCTGTGTCTCCCGTTCTTATATAGAGCAGCAGCAGGGTGACGTCAAAAACGTTAATTATGAATAATATTGGTCGCGAAAGCCTACGTGTTAAACTGACGTGTGTAAATATATATATTTTTTGCGGTTGTACCGTACAGCTCTCCGGCTTGTTTTCGGGTTGTACCGCACGTTGTTCGCCACGGTATCCGATGTTTCGCTCCACGCCTGCTGAGAGCTTCGGTTCCGTGTAGCCCAACGCCAGACCAAGTCGACGTGGGGAGACCCGCGAATGCACGTGGATCCAATTAACCCATCGCTTTCTACGTTGCAAAGTAAATCTCCAAGAATGAGCCATCTGAAATGTATTCCAGTCGAAAGGATGCGTTCAACTAAATTTGCTGAGAAGAAGATGTATCTTGAAAGCGATTTAAAATGTGCATGTCGATGCTGAATCAACGCCAAGTGTCTGCTTGTGAATGTGTCTATCGATTGTGTCACCTTAAAATGCGAGAAAGTGAATTTCAAATGTCTTTTTCAACAGCCGCAAACCTGAGCAGCGATACAAATGTCTTGCATTTAACTTCGATGACGAGGCATCTGCATTGTGTTCCAATATCTTTGCTCGTTACGAGAAGCGATCCCTTGAGCATCCAAAATACGACTTTAACAACATGTCCCTGTACACCATTGGAACCTCATTTGCCAGTAAAAAATATGATAATTGTTTTTTTTACCCTTCTATCTGGCAACAAAACTGACACTTTTTTTTACAAGGAGTCATGTTTGCATAGACCACAATACCTGCAGCCATTATGCATACAAAAAAACATTACTCTGATAATATATGCACTGTCCTTGAAGTTGATTGATCCACACCCAAGACAGCTTTCCTTAGAGCCTAGTCTTACATGGGTTGGACCAGATGACGCCATGAGTTGGACCAGATGATGTCTTGGGTGTGGATCAATCAACTTCAGGGACAGTGCATATATGATCAGAGTTATGTTTTTTGTTTGCATTATGGCTGCAGGTATTGTGGTCTATGCAAACATGACTCCTTGTAAAAAAAGGTGTCCGTTTTGTTGCCAGATAGAAGGGTAAAAAAAACAATTAACAACATCCTGTTTGACTTCGCCATGCTTTTGGAGCCACATTATACCAAGAAGACACCTCGCCGAAAAGCCTCGCGCTGACGCCCGAATTCCCCCTTTTGCAGATCGACAGCAGGCACGGCGCGCAGGACACGGACAGCGATGACGAGTGCTCCATCCTGCGCGAAGAGTTCAGGGGTCGCATCATCAAGCAGGGCTGCCTGCTCAAGCAGGTGACCGCACGGCCTCTCACGCATCCCAACAGGCTACAGGAGCCAGCAGCGCTCGTAATCACCGGGATCTCCAACCCAATTACCAGCCCATCACCGACAGACATTTCGCAGGACATCTCCCAAGACCTCACCAATGAACCCAGACGCCCGATCGCCCAGGCTACGTGAAGTACCTTCGGATTAATGAGCAGAACCGACGGTTGCCTGCGGTGGTGCAGTTAACGCGACCCCCACCCGCCCGCGTGCACTGATACTGCCGGCAATTTGTCTGCGTTAGGACAATTTGTGTTTTCTTCCTGCATTCATAACCACTGGCCGTGCCGCAGGGTAATTAACGGTGCAAGCAATGCGGTTTAAATACGCGACGCTCGCAAACCATGATATATTTTCAATTGCGATGACATGATTTGCTTTTGCCAACACTGCTTGCTCTGCGCGGCATCGCGGATTTATGACGGCGATTTGAGCCTCCTGTAGACTGCAGGCACAGTCGCGATTGTGGCTACGATCCAGAACGCGCCGGGCGGACGCCAGAAAGGCATTAATCATCGAGCTAAAGCAGCCGAAAGCGATAGCAGATGCTTATCGTAGAACATAAAAGAACACAGTTGACAATGGAGGTGAAAAAAAAGTCAACACATTGAAATGTCATTTCATTTTTTTTTGCTTAGGGCCACAAGAGGTTGAACTGGAAGATAAGAAAGTTTGTGCTCAGGGAGGAGCCTGCATACCTGCATTATTACGACCCAACAAAGGTGAGAAGGTAGAGACGCAAACATCACAATAGCAATTTAAAGCTTTCGTGACTGCAGGGATTCATATTCTTGGTTCACGTAGAAGGGAAAAAAATAAATATTATTTTCGGTAAAGTCACGTAGAAGGGAAATAATATCATTAATAATATTACTAATAATATTATTTTATTATTTCCCTTCTACGTGACTTTACCGAAAGAACCAAGAATATCACAATAGCAGCCGATGCCTTCCCAACATATCTGGGCAAAGGAACATTACCGACTATAATCACCCAGAAATGTCTGTCCGTCCCGCGCGTGACGTCACTCCACACGAGGCCCACCCCCCCGCGTGACGTCACTCCACATGAGGCTCACCCTCCCTCATTAATATTCATGAGTGAGTGGATTTTTACACTGACGCAGAGGAAGGTCGAGCTAAATGAAATTATTTATTACGCAAAATATTGAGGTTCTTTATAGGAAGTGATGGTAAAAAACAAATCTACGCAGCACAGTGCTACGTGGAAATTTACACTAACGCAGAAGAAAGTCAAGCACTCCACATGCCGCACCCCTCCCCTCATTAATAATCATGAGCGGGTGACGTCACTTCACATGCCGCACCCCTCCCCAATAACCATTAGCGAGTGACGTCACTCCACATGCTGCACCCCTCCCCAATAACATTAGCGGGTGACGTCACTTCACATGGGGCAACCCCCCCTCATTAATAATCATGAGCGGAACAATTTTTCTATTGAATATTTCAGATTTACTGCAATATACACCCTTGGACGGGCAAAACAGCTAATTCCTAATAAACATGCAACGTTGAACCATTGGACCAATGTTGGGCTAACGTTGGGCAAACGTTCGCTGATGTGCTCGAGTTTATTTTGTGCAACCTAAAGCCAACGCACAAAACAAGCCGTACACAGTGCACAATAGTAGATTTTTCTAAATTATAATTTAAACAAATATATTTAAAAAAATCTTAATATATATAGGACTGCAGAGCTTGGCCAGTTTTTGGCACTGACTCAATGCGCGTCTGAATTCCAGCTTGTCTGTGGTTTCTCAGCAACTAAATGATTCAATTTGCATAAACGATGACGATACATAAAACTGAATATATTAATTTTCCCTCATATTTTCTAAACGATGTGCCATTTGCTGCATAAACCAACGAGTAAAATGTGGCGTTTCTTCGCCCATGAAACGTACAACTCAGGAAACCCAAAGCAGCTCAAAGATGATGAAAAAAAACCCAACAACAGACATCGTCTTTTTTTTCAAAACGCAATTATATTTGAGTGGACGTGACCTGACCGGGCAGAGCGAGGTAAACAACGTTGAATTGGGTCGTTGTGCTGGGCGAGGAACGTCTCGGCAGGCACCCGGCTACTGCCTCGCCGCAATAGACGTTGAGCAAAGCACCGTGGCAACAGTTGCAGGTTTGGACACGCCAAAGAGAAGGGGTGGGGACGGTCATTCATCATCGAGTGGAGGGGAACAAACCGACAGCTGCGAACGTTGCCGACGCCGTGATTGAGCCACCCCACGTTCTTCACTCAAGGCTCTCTCTCTCTCGGACGTCAACAACATTGTTACGCAAAGGTCCCCATTTGAGCTCCATGGGTATTGTTTACATGCGAGGCATCTCCGTTCAGTTCGGACTTAAGCCGTTTGCCTTTTCGTCAGTCATTATTCCGGGCGGAGAGATTCGTGGCATCGTTAATGTCAACGACTTAGTGGGCTATGAGCCAGGCGCGTTCTTTATCAAGGCACAGGCGTGTGGGCGATCAAATGGCAAACTTTGACCGGGCACGCGAAGGGGGGGTGATGGCCTCTATCCAGTGAACACCCCTGCGGCGGTGGCGTAGAGTGTCCTAACTTTAGAGCCGCAATCTTTTTCCAAGAATCGTATCGACAATGCCGCAGAGGTCACAACCGGCTACCCGATACCCGTACCCTACCCGATACCCGGCTACCCGTACCCGGCCGGGTACGGGTACGGGTACCCGTTTGCGACCCTGGTGCGGCCGGGTACGGGTATGGGTAGACCGTGAGTCACTGGTGAGTAACTGTTTGTCACTCATTTCCCAACGTCTTGTCTCTTCTCACAATTGAAGTTCCTAGAATCAACCCACCCGCGCCTGCAACATGGCTTCATCCCAGAGGTCGCAATCGGGTACCTGATACCCGGTAGGGTACGGCCGGGTACGGGTACGGGTACCCGTTTGCGACCCTGGTGCGGCCGGGTACGGGTACGGGTAAGGAATCCAAACCCGTTTGCGACCTCTGCAATGCCGTGCGTTTCGGCAATATTTTGATTTAGTTAATGTAGTGATGGACAGGTGATCGGGGTCACTGAGCTGGCAGAGCGCTGAGATCCCGGATTTCAGTCAGCTGTGATTAAACGTGGTTCTCAAGTGTAGCGAGTCATCAGAGACTTGTATGTAAGAAATGTAGTTTTAACTTATTTTGGCTAAATTCCAGCTCTGAACATATCAGTTTGACTGCCATGAGTGGAACATTTCCGTTTGGCAGGGCGTGTGAAAAAGTGCAGCAAGCCCCGAGTGTGTGCGTGTGTATATGATGACAAAAAGTAACATTTAAGTGTTCTTCCCTGTGCCATTTTCCGACACACAGCATGCATACACTGCTTGCTGCCAGAGTTCCAAAGTGATACTTTGTCTCAAGTCGTGATGCCAATGACTAAGTTGCTAACACGATGAGAGAATAAAAGGTAAAAGTGAAGCCTATCAAAATAATTCCAGGTGGCATTGCACCACACACAAGCAATCCAGTGCATTGAGTTAGTCGTGGATGATGCTGACATCTCGATTTAAAGCTTTCGTGACTGCAGGTATTCATCTTCTTGGTTCTTTCGGTAAAGTCACGTAGAAGGGAAATAATAAAATAATAAAAATAAAACATTATAAAATAATTCTCACGATGTTTCGGCCACAACGCAAGCAGCCATCCTCAGGTGAAGAATGAAACATCACCAAGCTTGGAGCGTATATTTAAGCTGGGTTGGAGGGGGGAAGAAGAGCGCCTTGACAAAACAATTTGCATAGCAAGAGGAATTTAGCATATTTATGGGAAACCCATTTCCCATAAATATGCTAAACGCATTTCCCATAAATATGCTAAATTCATCTTGATATGCAAATTATTTTGTCAAGGCGCTCTTCTTCCCCCCTCCAACCCAGCTTAAATATACGCTCCAAGCTTGGTGATGTTTCATTCTTCACCTGAGGACGGCTGCTTGCGTTGTGGCCGAAACAGTCGTGAGAATTATTTTATAATGTTTTATTTTTATTATTTTATTACTTCCCTTCTACGTGACTGTACCGAAAGAACCAAGAAGAAGCTGACATCGTCATGTGCTTGAGGCACCCACCTACCCCGGTCAGCAGGGTGCCTGTGAAGAGAGAGGACAGCGAATGAGTTTCCTCCCTCGCGAAACCAAAGATACGTTCAGCTGTTGGCCGAGCCGAATGAAACTGAAAATCCAACAGGCATGGACTCGGAACGGTCAAAAATAATAGTGCAATAAAGTGATGAACAAGGTGTGTGTGAGTCGTGTATTTGTGAGTAGGACACCGATATGCACACCCGTGCCTAAACGCACGTCTCATTAGGCTCTCCGTGCACGAAATTTGCGAGTCACTCTTGGGCAACAAAAAAAGGTGTTTCACAATCTGTGAACTTTTGCACAGATGCAGGGCTGACCCAGTGTTGTTGTCTGCGGCGACAGGAGGATTCGCGTTACCCCCTTGGAGGCTTCGCGCTCAAAAACAGCATCGTCTCGGCCATGGGAGAGGACGGCCTTCCGCCCGGTACGGACACAAAGATCCCCCGTATAGCCTTAACAGACTGTTGGAGCGAGTGCTGTTAGCAGGCACCTATGAAAGCTGACACAGCTCACGAGGGGGGTGGGGTGGCCAGCACCGTGCCCGACCACCTTTGTCTCCCCAGTGGCAATGTTTACACACCGCACGAGGTACTAATTGGAGGCTGAGTCGACCTAGGGGAGGCCCAGGACCGGTTCAGATAATCGTCACTGGTGTTGGTCGTGAGCGGGATTCGAATTCGGGTTTCCGGGTTCGTAGTGCAGCGCACTAACCGCTACACCACCGCTCCCCACGGAGAGCCAACACACACACACACGCGCACGGCACGTGGTCGACCTCCAAGGGGCCGGTGGCCTGCAGGCCCGCCAGCCAGGCCAGCGAAAAACATGGAAACGGTCAGCTTTGACATTCGATCACATGGCCTTCCAGCAAAAAATAAAAAATCAACGTTTTCCAAATTTGATGCACGATGTTAAGTTGAAATTTGGTTTGGATTTTTCACGAAATTACACTTTTTTTGCAGCAGCAGCAGAAGCAGCAGTAATCTGCTTACCACAAAATGTGACACTCGACAGTTTTTTTAGCAAAGCGGTTGTTTGGTAAATTAAAAGTGAAACTAAAATGCATACGAGTGTAAAAATAACAGGATTCATCTCGAAATCAAACAGCTGCCAGACCAACTACAAAACATAAACAGTGTAGACTACAGTCACGTGCAAACAAGTACTGCACAGTACAACAAAGCAGACGAACCTTGCGAGAGTAAACCTACAACTTAATTCTGAAATGAAAAGCAACAAATTCTAGATACAGACCCAAAATTGCTTGTTCAAATGTACGATTAGTAAAACAAAATAACAGATTAAATTTCGATTTAAAGCTTTCGTGACTGCAGGAATTCATCTTCTTGGTTCTTTCGGTAAAGTCACGTAGAAGGGAAATAATAAAATAATAAAAATAAAACATAATAATATAATTCTCACTAATTATTTTATTATGTTTTATTTTTATTCTTTTATTAGAAGGGAAATAATAAAATAATAAAAATAAAACATTATAAAATAATTCTCACTAATTATTTTATTATGTTTTATTTTTATTATTTTATTATTTCCCTTCTACGTGACTTTACCGAAAGAACCAAGAAGAAAAATAACAGATTCTTTCTCTTTTGCTTGTATTCGAAGAGGAACGTCACCGCATCGAATCCCGCTGCACACATTTCTCCACGTACGAAGGACGTTTCGTTTTTTCTCACAGGAGGAACATGTTCTCGACTTCCCATATGTATAAGTCAGCTGCAGAACATAGAACAATTGAATGTCTGTTTACATCCCCAATCGACAAGAAATCGCGCTATGCCACAAGCACGGCTACCACCACGATATTGTGAGCGCTTAAACAAATGTCGACATAAAAATGTAATTACCGTATCTACCGAAATCAACTTGATTTACCGCAATTATAATTTGACATGCACGCCTTTCCCTGGGGGGTGGGGGGGGGGTTGAGAGAAAACATTGCTATCATAATTCGACAAAGAAGTTGCATTAAAACACATTAACGTTTAAACAAGCGAGCGGAAGACCCGATTCAGTGAAATAATATTAAAATAACGATAACAAACTATAAGCATGATTTCTACGGACATTTAAAGGCGTATAAATATACACACACAGGTCCTATGCGGCTTGTTACATCGCAGACACGTAAGAGACAGTATCAACTTGTATCTCACGGTTCCCGCACCTCCGCTGAGCATGGTTGGCTACGTACGGTGTGAAAGAAGTTCAGCATATATACATACAACTAGGCCAGGCCTCCGTCTACCCGTTTATACCACTGGGTAGACAGAGGCGGGGGTGGAATCAATTCAAACAAACCCTGCAACGTTGTTTCAGCTGCCACACCGGGAGATCAGATCAAACCAGCGACCTCTGGATTGCACGCCCAGTGTGATAACCATTCAACCACGGCAACGTCCCTATTTCTAAAGGAAGCTTCGATAAATCAAAACTGTTACTAAACTATGTTTTTATTTTACCAGGTAAGGCCCACAGCTATATGGCTCTTTTTCAGACGTGACCTGGCTATCACAAATGATAACGAAGTAGCTTATTGCGTAAAAATGTATAGCAGCCACATACTCTTAAATGCACGTTCATTCTAAATGTGGAGGGAAAATCCGGAGAACCCGGAGAAAAATCCACGCGACCACGGGGAGAACATGAAAAATCCAAATATACAGCAGGTGTCAGGGTCGGGATCGAACCCACGACCTCCTGCATAGCAGGCGAGGTAGTTAACATCTTACCACCGGGTTTAGTATTAAAATAATAGTATTATTAATAATAATAATACTAAAAGCGTGTTCTCCAGATTATAAGGCGCTCCGGATTGTAAGATTCACCCTGAATGTGTGCCCGGTGTCAATAAGGCTAAACAGATCTGGTCACGATTACACCCTTTTCTCTTGAGACCTCTTTTTCCACTGTGCAACCCGAAGCCGTGCCGAGCCAGCCCCTGGCATTGACTCGGCTGCGCAGCGCAGAAGCGAAACGGGCAGACGAACCTTTGCCTGCCCGCCCGCCTCGAACGCGCTCATGTTCCTCTCCGCTCGCAGGCGGGGACAAGGTGCAGGGCAACCTCATCCACATCATCTCGCCGGAGGACGTGCACTACTACCTGCAGGCCAGCACATCCGCCGAGCGGCAGCAGTGGATCGAGGCCATCAAGCGGCTGTGCTGAGCACGTGGGCCCCTGCGCGATCGATGGGAATCCGGCGGCGTGACAGCGATTTAGCGCCGCCTTGCGCTGCGAACCGCGGGCGGCCCCGAGTTCAATTCCCGCACCCCCCTCCTCCCTCCCCTCCGGCCCCCGCTCGTGGTAAACACCGGTGACGATCATCTGAACCGGTTCTCGGCCTCACCTAGGTCGACTCAGCCTACAATTAGTACCTAGTGCGGTGTGTAAAAACCTCGACACTGGGGAGACAAAGGTGGCCGGGCGTGGTGCCGACCACCCACCCCCCTCGCGTGCCATTCCGGCCTTCATAGGTGCTGGCTAACAACACTTGCCCCAACAATCTATTAAGGCTATACGGGGGATCTTTGTCTTTGATGTGAAACCCGCGGTTCTCACGATCACCCGGTGAACACTGCAAGCTCAGCCGTACAGTTACCGTCGAGCGGGGCTACACGGTGACCGGATTGCCAGGGGGTGCGGGTGGATTTTGGTGGCATTAATTGTGAAAGCCGAGGATAAATTAGCACCCCCCCCCCGCTTGTCCCTGTTGCCGATTGGTGCGTGGGTGAGCGGTAGGAGAATCATTAGGAGAGTAGCAACCAAAACGCGTCAAGCAGAGAGCCAATTGACCCCAGAGATCCCAGACCCAATTTGCCTTCACGAGCCCGCTTATTATGAAATGGCCGAGCCACAAGCGGATTCCATTAAAACATTTTTTTATTTTTTTTTATTTAAACAAGCCACCAACATGGCATTGCAGTGACGTGTACGAGCGGTGCCAGCCGGGGGGGGGGGTAAATTAAAGGGTGACATTTCGATAGGAAGCTCCAATCAAGTTCAATAGGAAGGTTTATCCATCTTTCCGTACTTCACATCGCTGAGAAACGCACCTCACCTTAGCCCAATTCCCTGGCCATCAAGTTCCAGAGGGGGGTGCTCCTCCTCTTCCCCGCTATGAAAGCATTCACTCCCTTCCTCCCTCCCCACCAACTTGTAAAATGGGGGTTCCACCCGTGTTGATATGCTTTGTAATATGCTAAAAAAAGCTCATGTATCCGAACTACAAGTCATTGCGTGCCTCCGTGAAATGCTGTGTGTGCGTGCATGTGAAGGGGAGTCCACGGGAGTCGTCCTGGCAATGGAACTTCACGGCTCACATCAGCACCAACACTCGCAGGGCAGGGCAGGCACAGCACGGACGCTTGCAGCGCACCGACACTGTGGTTCACTTCAGCCAAATCTTCCCGGAGCCCCGAGTCTTTAGCCCCTTGCCTCTTTATACACCCTCTCGCCTTCTTCCACCCGCTAAATTGTATCTTTTGGGGGGGTTTTTTTCCCCCTCCAATCCCCTTTTCTTTTGCCTTTCTTGCCGGCGCCTTTCTTTAATTATTTTTTCTCAACTCGGTCCCTTGACCCCCTTGCCGTGACCCCTGCATTCAATCCTGGAGGGTCATCGCACGACATTCTCATTTGCATATTTGTGATGCGCGTGCACTCAGTATATGGGGAAAACAACGACGGCCGACATTCGCCATGAAGTGTCGGTGACGTCACCACAGGGCTTGTGCCAAGCTAGGTGCACTTTCAGGCCAGATGAAGTGTCAAAGGCTCGCTGGCCATAGGTCACGGGACAAACCCAGGTGCTGTGGGTTGACTGAAATGACTGCCAACTTGCTGTGTTTTAGCCTCCCGGTGCTCCGCTCGTTGTTGTGAGCGTCGCTCTCCTGCCCTCTATTATTGGAGGGCGACTGCCTCCAACTGCCCATTAGCGTCGTTCACGAGCACAAGCTTGTTTGGATCTTTTCTAGGTGGACACACCTAGAAAGGCTGGCACGGCACACGAGGTCGTGGGTGGCCAGCACCACGCCCGGCCACCTTTGTCTCCCGGGTACTCAGTTGAGGCTGGATCGACCTCTGGGAGGCCCAGGACCGGTTCAGATAACTCGTAACTGGTGTTGGCCGTGCGTAGGAATTGTAACTTCTCTTTTTATAGTCTGGCTAGCAGCTGTGTTGGATTCAAGTGCGATGTATTAGACGATAGGCGAACAACTGACGAAGGTATCCAAGTGGCTCAGAGAACACGTGAGCCAGCACTGCTGTCAACCTGGGTTCGAGTCCGGGTCTCCGCCGCCCGTGATTTAAAAAAAAACCGGGTTCTAAATTGTAGCCCAGCCCCCGTAGATTACACAACACATCCATCGCATTGACTTTGGTTTCGAACTCAATCGGGTAAAGTTACAGCGATTTAAAATAATAATAAAAATAAAAATGTAAATTCAACTGCGCCGAGACATACACAGGAATTGCCGTCTGCGTGTCAAAGAGCGCCCCTACTCTCGAAAGAATGAAACGACCACTTGAAGGATTTCTTTGGTGGAATAACATCCGATGCAATATCTCTTCCACTGAGATTCTCCGCCAAAGTGAGCCGCTCTATCACGTTTCTGAATGTAGTCTTCATCTGGTGGCATTGTGCCGATTACCACAATTCGACTAAAAAAATTTAATTCACAAAATGTTCATGTAAAAAAAGAGGGAGATTCGCTTTGGCATATTATTTTTTTACCAGTCGGTCTGCCTCGTGAAAATGAGCAAAAAAACAAATTGGACCCCGTGACTGAATTTACGAGAAAACATCGAGGATGATTACAACATGTTCGTTAAAGGCATTCATTGTGTTACGCCCTTACACAACGGCAGACTTGAACAAAAAAAAACTCTACCCACCAGCAGTTTACTTCTGGCAACTTCGGAAGCACAATAGCAAACATTGTACTCCCACGTCTGCCATGGCATCCCCCTCCCCAGCAAGCATCCGATTGCGCCAGTACAGTGCCAAATTAAAATCCATCCTCGCTGCGCCATATGCCGCCCACACAGCTCTTGCAGTTTAACAGAGACGGCCGAGTCAGCGTTTTGTGATCGTGGCAGGAAGCTCCGTCTCCCCACCGTGAGAAGCCGCAACCATAACCGCGAGAGAAAGACCATCCACATCGGCGCACTGGCTGCACGTGCCACGTTGTACGTCGTGAAAGTCGAGCTGGGCTTCTGCGTTTCTTTGCCATATTCCATCGACCGATTTATTGTCGGTGAAGTGATGCTTTGAATAATTATCTGACAACACGACAAAAATAGTTGGGGGTGGGGCGGGGAGGTGGAAAAATGGCTCAGCTCTGTTGCCACGTGTAGGAGGTAAACCGCCATTTTCTATTTAGAAAATAGCCGAGAATAATCGACCACGGAAAAAAATTGCCAACGTAAATATTTTATTTTCATAAATCTATTTTCATGAATCTATTTAACCGACTACTCATCCGAGCAGTAATTGCATTGTTCGTTGCGAAGTCACTTCACCGAGTGGAGATTTGTTTTATTTCCAAGTATGCCCCGAGTCTTTCCCAGATACCAACATGCCCTTCTTGCCTTTGTCGGTTTGAATAACAACAATAACAGCAAATGCACGCTAGCAGTCATGGTCGTTTCGCACATGTGGCCAAGGCCAATCATTGACACGCCGCGAGTCTCTCTTGGAAATATGCCTTTGTTTAACTTCCCACACTCAGGACAAATGATCTTTGCTTAAAACGCGTGACATACGTGTCTATCTTTAATGAACACACAATCAGGCACGCCCAGTTTAGGAAAGGCTGAAGATAATAATAAAATAATAATAATGAACTTATTTATTCAGCATAGCCATATTGAGTCTAAGCAGCCTTTTTCAGTAGAGGCCTGCATTTTTTTATTTTAAGATGTTTTCAGCGAATTCATGAGCGTTTATACAATTGGCAGGAAACCAGAGCACCCAGAGAAATTGATACGCGAGCGAGGCAACACTCTATCCCCGTACATACAGATGGAAACAGATGGTGATTAGTCCACTTGCTCTACTGCCTTTTACTGGCGAGCCGAGGATATGGCATCTCCTCGACACCTCCGATTAGCACGGTTGGCTACGTACGGTGCGAAAGAAGTTCAACATACTGCACAAATGATAATTGGTTTTTTACCCTTTTATCTGGCAACAAAACTGACACCTTTTTTACGAGGAGTCATGTTTGCATAGACCACAATACCTGCAGTCATAATGCAAACAAAAAACCTAACTCTGATAATGTATGCACTGTCCTTGAAGTTGATTGGTCCACACCCGAGACAGCTTTCCTTAGAGCCTAGTCTCACATGGGTTGGACCAGATGACGCCAAAAGGCGCACAACTCAAAGACAATGCACCATCAGAGTATGCGAGCTCGGGGTAAAGCATTTACACCATTGAGGTACCAATGATACTGCACATACATACGAGAGAGTTTCACAAAGTTTGCGTGATCCACCAACGCTCGCCTCTACGGTGCTGGATTACAGCAGTTGCTCCACTGCCGCCTGACATCCTTTGTCCACAGAATTATCGGATGAAGCCACACAAATAATGGTATTGACGTGCGGGTTTATTTTCGACTTCTTAGAGGTATTCGCTGAAACTTGCATTGAATTCTCAGCTCGCGCTCTGCGGCTTGTGTGCGTGCCTCTATCAAAGTATGCTAAATGTAAAGTGTCCGTGCCCCCATTTGCTCTGTTAACGCTGTGACGACGTGACGTAGCTTCGTGTACGGTGATTACTTTGTGTAAGCATTCGATTAAAAATTGCTTGCTTTTTATGCACGTCTTTTTTTTTGTTACCAAAAACATTTTACAGAAAGTGTTTCGGGAAAGGCGAAAAGGTGTGGCTGTGCTGGATATTTTATATAAGGAGCCGTCCATAAATGACGTCACGCACCTTGGGGGGGGGGGGTCAGATATTTGTGACGATGTGTGACGATGGAGGGGGGAGTGGTTGAGAAATGTGACGTCATATCAAAATGTGTAACTTTAAATAAATATAGACAACATGTTCTACTTAATTAAATCGACTTTTTAATAGATGTTTTCTCCTACAACATCAGAGTGCAGCGCCACATTAAATACGCACTACAATGACAATAGTTTAAAGCGATTTGAAGCATGTTTTATATTTTTGGAGGGGGGGGCAGAGCTTTGTGACGTCATATTTGAGGGGGGGTCTGACTTTTTGTGACGCCGTGTGACGAAGGGGGGGGGGGGTCAAATATCGTCCAAAATCGCGTGACGTCATTTATGGACGGCTCCTAATGCGTACGCCATTAATTGTGCGACTTACATTATTTCATATATATATGTGCAACCTGCATGGTGGTAATAATGTGTCAATTGAGCTTCACTTGTAACAAGCCGTAATGGGTCAGTGTTTAACGTCGTTTTTGTTCAAGTATTATTTCAACGATCAGACAATTATTTGTTTCGTATACATTCTAACAGAGCAAACGTTCTCTCACACCGCGGGAAATTCAACTTGGCCTTGTGAGTCACCAAAAAAAAACATTGTGGTCAGTTTGAAGGTAGCGTTAACTTTCAACATTTAAAACACAGACATGAGTCAATTTCCTATACAATGCCTACTCAGCTACAAAACGTAAACCACTTTTTTTTAAATCAACAACCAGCAAGTCTGCCACACCTCCTCCCAGCAGCCTTTGACAACAGCTGACTCGGTGCTGTTCTTAGTAAAACATGATGTGACATTTTCAGCAGAGGTATATGCGAGATGTTTAATCGTTTACAACTGTCTTCCCCTTTGCATTCGTAATTATTCTTTGTGTAACGTATTGCTGCTGTACTGAACTCGTGAGCCTGACCCACCTCTGGGAATGCATATCCAGCAGAGGTCGCAACCGGGTACCCGATACCCGTACCCTACCCGATAACCGGCTACCCGTACCCGGCCGGGTACGGGTACCCGTTTGCGACCCTGGTGCGGCCGGGTACGGGTAGGCCGTGAGTCACTGGTGAGTAACTGTTTGTCACTCATTTCCCAACGTCTTGTCTCTTCTCACAATTCAAGTTACTAGAATCAACCCACCCGCGCTTGCAACATGGCTTCATCCCAGAGGTCGCAATCAGGTACCCGATACCCGTACCCGTTTGCGACCCTGGTGCGACCGGGTACGGGTACGGGTAAGGAATCAAAACCCGTTTGCGACCTCTGATATCCAGTGCGTTAACCACTGCATCCTGGCAGCACATGTTTTTATCTTGGCTTGTTTCTTGCCATCTCGTATCGGTTGTAATAAGAACCCACTGGAAACGACTGCCTTCATGAAGTGGCAAGAGTTGGAGCTCTCTGCGGAGTCGGTGCTGCCGATAAGGAACTGTTGTTCTGCTGCTGGGTGCTGGGGTACGCAAGGTTTTGATGTTCACTACAGTCTTGCCATTGCACGCATTGATGTGGAGGTTTGATGTGGAGATCAGTGGATGTACGAGCAATTTGCTGCTGCACCTGCAAATGCTTCCAACAGTGGTGACATTTTAAAGGAAGTTTCCAAAATGTGGTGGTGCAGAGCCTCGTTATATCCAATTGCAGTTATAATCAATCATGGGATACCTGCTGCCATGGTGTGACGGTTATCGAAATGGGCTTGCAATCCAGAGGTCGCTGCTTCGATTCCATCTCTTGGCGTGGCCGGTGAATAATAAACAGGTTTTGAAAGTTGATACCGCCTCTGTCCACCCAGCTAGACGTGGTGGTGAGATGTTATCTGCCTCGCCTGGTATACAGGAGGTCGTGGGTTCAATCCTGGACTTTAGGTTTGGAGTTTGCGTGTCTCTCTCCGTGGTCGCGTGGAATTTTTCTCCGGGTCCTCCGGTTTTCCCCTCCACATTTACAATCAACATGCGTTTACACAATTTGGCTGCTATAAATGTCCACAAGATAAGCCACTTCGTTGAGCTATCATTTGTGGCCAGGTCACTTATGTAAAAAGAGATATATAGCTCAAGTGGGCCTTACCTGGTAAAATACAAAAACATTTGTTTCGTTTTGACTTAAAGCTTTCGTGACTGCAGGAATTCCTATTTTTGGGTCTTTCGGTAAAGTCACGTAGATAGGTTCAAAGAAAATAACAAATCATATAAAAAAAACTACGACGTTTCGATCACAACACAAGCGATCGTCATCAGGAGGAAAAAACAGATCTCTTTCTGAGAACAGGTTTTCCCCTTTTTTCTGGAAACAAAAAAACTGCGTCCTCTGGTCTAACACCGTTTTGAGACGAGGCTCAAAAGAAAGATGTCTCTGGTGTGGACCAATCAGTTTCAAAGACAATGCATATATTATCAGAATGTGTTTTTTGGTTTGAATTTTTACCACAAGTATTGTGGTTAATGCAGACATGATTCCTTGTAAAAAGTTTCAGTTTGGTGCTTTAACATCTGAACACCTGTTTTGTTGCCAGAAAAAAGGGGAAAACCTCTTCTCATATTTTGGTCCTGGCAAAGGAGATCCCATGATGTAGATCTCTTTCTCTCAATTTTTACCTCCAGATGACGATTTCGTTCTTTTCTTTGAACCTATCTACGTGACTTTTACCGAAAGACCCGAATGATATTTGTTTCGTTATTTTAATACAAGTGGGTACCGGAGTGAGTCGATCTGGAGGCAGCGTGTGGTGTGGTGAATTTCGAGTGCTCCCACCTCGATCCCAGCAGTCTGGTCAGCATGCCAACAAGTAGGACACAAGCCTCCCCTCGAGATGGGCCCTTTAAGAGCTCCCCGAGTTAAGAGACCCTTCTGCCAGCAGTGGCAATTTGCAGGCCTCCAACTTGCCCTTACAATATGACGCTATCACACAATCCTGTCGTGTACATTTTAATTGAAGTCGACATTTAAAATATTACGGCTTTTTTGTTGTTGTTGTATAGGGAGCTGATTCAACGCCGATATGCGTGTCCTCTTCATGGCCGCTGTGCTATCGAAAGCGCAGTTTTAAGCTAAATGTGCCGAGCGGGTGATCCAGGTGTTTTTTTATGTATTTATTTGCCACGCGTGGTATGCTTCAGAAATTACGGCTTTCGTTAAATGGCGTAAACGGGGCTACTCCGTTAAAGTTTTAATTGGCGCAATATTTTTTTTGTTGGTTAAATCTCAGATGTGGAGGGAGGTCCTTGCAGCGAGCGGTAGCACGTTGGGACTAGAATGTCAATAAAACGTCGTGATTTATTTTATTTTATACTTACGTGACTTTACCGAAAGAACCAAAGAGTATAGAATGTCAATGTTAAATAGATTATAAATAAGCAGAATAAGGAACGATTCGATCTGTTTTTATCTATCATGAATTCTGCTCTGTCACCCCCCCCCCCCCCGTGTATATTACGAAATGTGTTAAATATTGTACGAATATTTTTTGTATTGGCTAGCAAACAGTAAAAATGCGGGGGGGGGGGGCTGCTGGCTTCAACAGGGAAAGAGGTTCAGCTCTCCCCCCGCCCCCCAATGCTCCAGGGATAACAACAAGTAGGGGACATCTGTAGAATTCGTGTGTGAATGTCGTGTACCATTTGGCCGTGTTTCAACGTACAGTTATTCGCATTACTCCACCTTGCATTTGTGCTAACGTGCAACCAGGGCCTGCATCCGACCACAGGCAGAACGATTCCAATCGCTGGCATCGTGTTCACCCGCGCGTGAACATTGTCCTGTACCTCTACGTAGCATGTGACACATTTGTCTCTGCCTACTTCTGTATCTCAAAATCACAGTGACTCTTCTGACACCTTGCCCACTCGAGACGGAAGAACACCATAAAATCTGTCCTTTCCCCCGGCACGTGATCAGCATGGTTGGCTACGTACGTGGTACGAAATAAGTTCGACATACATGCACGCATACAGATGTGGTCCCCCCGCCTGTTCCGTCTGTGTGGGATAGACGAGAGTGTTTCCCGCTCGCATGCTTTGTGTTTTCCCCAGGTGCTCCGCTTTCCTCCCACGCGTAACAACTCCTAGTGGCCGATAACGCATCAATGTATAGAGGACCGCAGCGCCCAAGCTCTGCGATTCTCTCTGCACGTGAAGATTCACGGTTGAGTCGCGTTCTTGAAAACCCGAACGTAAGGTGCGAATTATTTTCCCCACCAGAAAATAACATGGAATTATATTAATTCTTATGGGACATTGGTGTGCGATCAACCACTGCATGTGCTTGTCAATGAAGAGGCGATAGCCGCAATCAACTTGCTTCTCGTGCCATCACCTGGACGGGCAGGGTAACTGCAGCATCAGTTCATAATGCGGTTAAGTCGACTATGGCTGGTGAAATTAACACGAGGTTTATGACAAAAAATACCGCCCTAATTAGTAAGACATGAATCATGAACGGATTTGAATGAAATAACATGCCATTCAATAAACGAACTGTATATAAACGGAATAAAACGTATAAATGAAGGACTACTTTTAATACCCTAAAACAGCCCTTCAAGTAAGCGACTGTGCAGCTTTCCAAGAAAAGTGTGAAGTTGCCCCAAATATTTAACGAAGCCCCGCACAACCAGTGAATGTTATGAAACAAAAACGCCACTATTGGGCGAAAGGCCCAGTCTGGCAGAGCCATGGAGCATGCCGTCACTATAGTCATACCAAGTATGTGAGTCATTCTAGAGTTGAAGCTTTCGTGACTGCAAGGATTCATACTCTTAGTTCTTTCGGTAAAGTCACGTAGGTAAAAGATGAAATTAATAAAAAATAAAACAATAAAAATCACGACGTTTCGGAGGCAACACAAGTCTCCGTCATCAGGTGGGACCGAGACTTGTGTTGCCTCCGAAACGTCGTGATTTTTATTGTTTTATTTTTATTAATTTCATTTTTTACCTAC